CGAATTATTCTAGTTTATTCATTAACTGACCCTTTGATTGAGATGTTCTATTTAAAAATTGAGACACCATATTTAGGGGCAATACACGGAATGAGAAGCGAATCTTTCGACTTGTAGACAATTAAAAACAGAATATCAGTTTAAAAATATTAGATATGATGAACAAAAATACTACTTTGAAACTATGGTTTTAAATTATAAATTTATTCTGAGGTTAAACTAAAATCAAATTTCATAAATAAATAAAAAAAATTAATTAGACTTGCTATTTCCAGCAGTGCAATTATATATTTGTGTTGCAATTGTTAAAACAGTAGCTAATTTTTACAATTAGTTTATAATAAGGTATATGATATTCTACTAGTAAAGAAGGTCAATATTTATGATTTTGTATCCTGCCATATTTTTTCCTTAAATTTGGATTACATCAGTGCCAATAATTATTCAATAATATTGCAGCACCATGCCAAAACTACAAGTCTGCAAAATTGCCAAGTCATGAAAAAGAGGTTTAAAAATTCCACTCTCTGGGAAAAACCTCATTACTTAGTAACTTTTGGTATGCTTTAAAATATTGGATAACAATCTAGAACATGCATTTAGGAAAACAACAAACAACAAACAAAAAAAAAAAAAAAAAAAAAAAAAAAAAAAAAAAATTCTGAAAGTTTTCAGAATTTTTTAAGGGGCATTTTTTAAGGTTTTGTGTGTTACCTTTATCTATTAAATATCATGTTCTACGTAGTCAAACTACAAAATTCAGTTCAACAGCAATATCGCAAATTCATTTTAAAATGAGCATATCTTTAGAATTTCTGATATAGAGTCTCGCGTGCTGAAGACAAAAATGTTTTTTTTCGTACAGTGTCGCCATTGTTCGCTTTGAAATCGTTTAGTTTTTTAATCAAAAATTCGATGAAGTGGTACAAAATCTGAAATTGATAATAAACAAATTTCAAACTCAAATTAGGGCTTCCACATGCCGATATTCTATGGAAGATTATGTTATTCAAATTTTGATGGCTATAGGTACTTTTGTTTCATCACAATGCGAGAAACATGCATTTATGAGATTCTTCTTTATTTAATTTCTTTAAATGTAAGACAGGGCAATAATATATGGTGGCAATGATTTGAAAAGTGATACAGCCTCTTAAAGTTTTACACGCAAAACGGAAAAAAGAAAAAAAAGCAGAATATGCAGATCTATGGCTTTGGCATGGTGCTTAAAGTTTACTGACATAGAACTAAAATGAAAAACTATATCTACATTAAAATTTCATAATTATGATAAAAAATTTTGGCATTTACATATTATCCTGTTTACCGTGAATGTGTCAACAAGCAATGTGATTCAGAATAAATTATTGGATAAGCATGATATAATAACACACTCTTAACATCTCGCTTTCATCTGAAGTAACCTTGATTGATTCGTGATATGCCATATTTTGTTTTTATGAACACAGACAAAATTAACTGATTTCTTCCTTTACATTATAAAAAATTAAAATTTGATACTTGTCTTCTACAAAATAGCAAACAGTGAATTATTTTCAAAGTCATAGGCTCCTACAAAAAAAAAAAAAAAAAAAAAAAAAAAAAAAAAAAAAAAAAGTGCATATTAATGGACATGATATATTTTGTTGAATATGGCCAACAAAAAATCAATAGACTGGACCAATTACCTGTGAGAAGTTTGTACTCAAACAGATTTTTGAGTAAAATTGGAAGTTGTGAAAATTGATGGAAGTCTTTTTGTGGAGAGCGAAAATGTATACTGATTATTTATTAAACAAAGAGACATCAGTCAGAATTCTGCAGAAACCATTGCTGTAAATTTGGTGGGATCTCTGCCCACTTTTATGCAACTTTCACAGTTGACAGGCTAATATGTAAATCAAGACTAATATGTCAAAATAAAACTCAATTATATAAGGCACTAATTTAAGTGATAGTCATCTAAAAAAAGTAAACATTCTTATGTGTAGTAAATATTCTGTTATTTTATGACATTTTAATTAAAACTGTTTATTTACTTGGATTTTGCAAATTATATATATATATTGTAATAAATAGTGTATTTTGAAATTCTACACTTTTGCTAAAAGTTACATATTATTTATACATAGGATATTCATCAAAGTGATCACAGCCTTTATTTCCTTAAATGTAAATCCTGAACATAGAGGATGATTCAAAAAGACAGTGCAATAAATATGTTTGAAATATCTGCCATAGATCCATGGTTCCAGTTAAAGCTATAAATCAAACATAACATGGTTTCAGATTTGAAAATTTTAGTTATAGAATTACTTTTCAGAATACCTTTCAGGAAAATACATGAAATTTTCTGTATTAAACCTCTACAAAGTTCTAAACAATAAGCTGCTTCTCATGCTACTAAAGATCAACACCAAAAATCTCTCAAAATCATACAGCTTAAACCATTTTTACTCAAAGAAAAGAATATCACTTTTGAGGCTGTATAAGATTGCACTATATCAAACAATTGAATTCCATCACATACAAGATTTTGAATTTTAGCTTTTCTGAAAATGATAATTCTCAACTAGCTTATTTAAAATTATGTTTTCTTAATGCAAAAGGCATCTTTTATAAATTTGCATTCAAAAAGATAACACTGCACAGCAACCTTTAGCAAAAACAATATGTAATTAACATTTTAAATTAATGATATCTTTGATAATCATAAATTTATCTGGTTGAATTATTTTACTGCTAATTAAACTATGCAAAATATCTTCTTACTGATATTTTTGATTCACGCATTACAAAATTAAATTTCATCGCACAAAAAAATTTTGAATTTAGTGCCTCTACAAATGGCAAATTGCAACCAGTACTTTTATTTTTCTTTTTTAAAAGAAAGACATTTTTTAGAAGACAGAAAAAGTTTTTTTAAAAAAGACATTTTTTAGAAATTTGTATTCAAACACTTAACATGGCACAGCAACCTTTAGCAACAATCATATACTCCTCAGACTTTTTAATGATCGCTTAGATAATCACAATTGCATGTGGATGAATTACTTTTCAATTATTTAAAGTATGCAAAATATTTTCTCATTGACAATTTCGCCCCCAAGGCTCACACATTGTAGAATTAAATTTCCTTTTAAATATAAAATTCTGAAAATTCAGTATTTCTTCAAATGGCAATTTGCAACTAATACTTTTACTTAACGCAGCACAGTAACCCTTAGCAAAAGTTGTATGTAACCCTCAAAACTTTTAATTAATATCTTACATAATCATAACTGCATCTGGATGAATTATTTTTCAATTAAGCGATGCTAAATGTTTTCTCATTGAAATTTTTAATTACAAGGCTCAGACAAAAATTTAATATAACACTTTTGTGCTCAGCTATTTTTTTTTAAACTAAAAGGTATTCACATGACCAAAATTGTCACAATATCTTCCTTATTTGACTATTTTCCAAACCAGAACCATGGATGTACAACCAGTTGTTCAAGAGATGTTTAGTTCCATATAATTTTACAAACGTCTACGCACGTCTAACACAGCTATGATAGAGAATTTAATGAAATCTGTTCTGTCTTAACACAATATATAATGCATGGCAAATACTATAAATGCTTTGTGTGTATGGAAGTTTGTTGGAAATGTAGAAACCCTATAGACTGTAAATTTCACTTAGTAAAATATTTAATGTGCTGTTATTAAACTTTCATATCCTCATATTTAAAATTCATAGAATCGGGTTCTTTTTTGTGACTAACACCGACTCAAATGCAAAATTTTTTAGGAAAAGTTTTGGAAGCAGCTACAAAACAAAAGGCTTTTTTTAAAAAATTATTTGTCTTGGATAAAATTTCATTTCTATGAATTTTGTACACTTAAGATATGGAATTTTTGCTCCATCAGGATTATGTAAAATGAATCTGTCCCTTCCAATAACTGTCTTTTCAATACTTGGATAAAATTTCATTTCTATGAATTTTGTAGACTTAAGATATGGAATTTTTGCTCCACCAGGATTATGTAAAATGAATCTGTCCCCCCCTCCAATAACTATCTTTCCAATAGTAATGAGACAGGTTTAATAAAATTTGAACTTTATTTCATAAAAATGTGTCGCAGGAAGTATGGAAGTAATATTTTAGAAGATAAAATCTATTCTTTATCTTCTAAAAAATTCTTTCTACTTCTTTTGAAATTGCTGTGTAATTTTATGATGCTATTTTTATGCACTTGTATTTTTACAGTCGGTTTGCTTGACTAGTCTGTTTTTATATATATATTTTAATATTTCAGTAATATACTATTGTTTAAAATAATCAACTCAAGAGAAAACAAACTCATACTTCTTGTAACATTTATGCACTGAATGCTAAAGAAATTTCTTCCAAAATTATCGTCAGCCATTTATATACTTAAATGACTGAAGTTTACAAATGCAGTATTAAATTTTTAATTCAAAATGTTATAATTAATGAAAAACTACTGATGAAATTATTACAAGTTAATTATCTTCTCAAAACATATATCACAAATTGAATTTAAATAAGCTTTATGTTTTGAGCTAAAACATAATAATAAATGCATCCGACATAAATTTTGAGACACCTAAGAAAGCTGCAGCTAATATATGCGAAATAAGTATACTTTAAATCAGACATAACTAAACTTCATGAAAGACTCACTCGGGGAGATTCTGACATTTCACATCTAATAAAAACTATATATGCTTTTAGGAAACTGGCATAAAATGTATTTAAAGTTTGTTTCACTGTACCTAAATGTAGATGAAATAAATTTTCATTTTGATATGACAAAAATAAAAAAAGATAAAAAGCAAATCGAATATTAAACAAACAAAAAAGATTACAAAATAAATAGAATATAAAAAATTCTAACATATCATTCTTCAAATAATGTTATTCATTATGTTACATGGTAAGATTGCATGTAGTTTGAGTTAGTAAGGAGGCAAAATAAATATTACACTCATCTTAAAATGTGAATAAATTTATGTTTATCTACAAATAATGGTGATTACATCACACAAGTGACTGGTCAAGTAAGAAGTGCATGTTCTTTTTAGAAGAACCTATAAAATGGTCCTGAGACTGATTTTTGAAATCAAACAACAAATTCAGCACACATAAAGAATATTTACAAATTCACTAAGTACATAAACTAACATGGTCACATGAAACAGGCCTTTTTTAATGCAGACTAGACATTTTGTTTAGGTATAAAACGATTGCACCAAATATTCTTCATTCTTCATTAGTATAAAAATTTCACCTTTGAACAACATTTATCAAGTCCCTAATTGTGCTATGAATTTCAGTTAACAATTTCACATCACTTGAGCATTTGCTCGAGTAGGAATGAAAACGTTCCTTTTGGTTTTCTAAGATGGCAATGAGTTCACGAAAATGGTACTGTTCTTGTGATGGTATGTTGGCAGTGTGTATTCCACATGTAGAACAAAACAGATTTATTTTCTCAGAAAGTTGATTCACTTTTGAGCCATTGCTATGCGACGAGTTCCGCAACCGGCTGATGATATCTTCCATGCTCTTGTATATTTCCATAATTGAATTCCTCCGATCTGAATCCTCTGGACGTAGCATTTCAATCTGGTTAATATTTTGAGTGGAATTATCTGAAGTTTGGAAGGAATGTTTATTATCTGTTTTAGGAAGTCTCTGGTCGAAAGGAGGTGTTAGAGGTGGTGATCCATTTCTTTGATTATTGGAAATTGGTCGTCTAACTTCATCCTCAAACTCTAATTCCTCTGGCGGAGGTGGTGGAGGAAAAAATAAATTATCATTTTCTTCCTGACCATTGTTTATATCTGTAAAATAAGCATCAGGTTGTTCTAAATTAGTTTCTGCTTGTTTCTGTACTCGTGTTTTGCTGCTTCTAACCTTACCCTCTGAAGAATCATCATCATCTGCCAGATCGGGACTGCCATTTTCATCGGAAGCATTTGCTACTTTATCATAAATAGCAAATTCTTTTTCAAATAACTTTTTAAAGTTCTTGACACTTCCAGCACTGTGTCTACGACTAGATGTATCCTTTTTTAAAAGGGCAGACTTTTCATTTACAAAAGCATCACTTTTACTTCGCTCGTGTTTCAAATCTTCGATTTCACTATTATCATCAGATAATTTTTTAACTGGAGTACTTTTTATTGCCTTTGTATCTTTTTTTAGTTGTGACAAATTAATGTCTAAAGCACCATGGTTTTCAATGCAAGTTCCAACATTTAATTTTGCCAGTTCTGAAACACAGATTTCTTCATCAGCACCAATGGAATTCTGGAAACCTTCTGGGGCAGGTATGACTACTTCAGATCCAATGACAGTGGACTGAGAATTCAGTTCAAGTTCACTTCTACAATCTAGAGGAGGAACAGTTGCAAGGTTTTCAATGTCCTCGGGAGAACTTACAGATTCTTCACTTTCAGTGAACAAGTTCTCATCGGAAAGATCGGTAACAGGTGCTAGTTTTGAATTGCACTGACTTCTAAAATGATTAGAAGGTTTGATCTTTTTGTCAATCACCGGGTCTCCAGATCTATTGCTTCCTAAAGACTTAGGCTCATTAAAAAGGAGTTTAGAATTATCATTTTTGGAAAACTGATTTCTGCCTACTGCTGGTTTAGTGAATGCCCTCTTCTTTAAATTGTGCTTGTGCAAATCACGATCAAGTCTTTCAGATTCAAACACAAAACTATTAGCTATACAGTTGTTTGTAACAACATTTTCCCACGAGGCGTGATGAGTAGTGTTGTTAACAAATATATTTGAAACATTTCCTAAAAGTTCCATTGGTTCTCGAATGCAAGTTAAACTTTCAGACTTTTTTTCAGCTTTCTTATTCTGAAAGAACCGATCGGATAAGATAGGTTTTCTTGACCTTAGATGATGTGACTCAGTTATGGAAAATGTTTCAAGTACATCATTAACTTTATTATGGGTGAGATCAGACTTTTGTCTTAAGAAAAATCTATGGGAATTCCTAATTGATTTATTTTCTAAACCATAACGCATACCAGTCATATGCCTGGAACTAGATATTTCTAGTCGACTCAGATTTGTCACAGAACCAGTGACCCTGTGATCAACATGAACTTCTTCACTAATTTCACGTAAGCATTCAAGTTCTCCTTCCATTACAGCATCTGGAGGACAACTTGTACCCTCATGTAAGCCATGCTGACGCAAAGAATCCAAATAAGCTCCAATGCGAGCTCCTTTAGGTAAGGTACCATAACGACTGATAGCCTTTTTTACATTTTGCACCTCTAAAGCTGCAACTCTAACCTTTTTTGCTTCATTCTTTTTCCCATTTTGAGTATCTTTTGATTTCTGACCAGCCAAAGAAGTTTGAGATCTGTTTTTCTTTGATTTCTTTAGCTGAATAGAAGAAGCATCTGATGAAGAAGCAGCAACCCCAGAATCTTCCTTTTCTGATATTCTCTCATGAGATTCTCCTTTAGTGATTTTGTTACATGAAGGAATGTCTTCTCCAGCTTCAAATTTCACATCAGGTGATTCTTTGAAAAAAATACCATCTTCAACTTTATCTAATCCATCAGGAAATGAGCTATCCTTGAAAGAACTCGTTCGTTTTGGGGGTGGAGCTGGCATATGTTTGTAGCGAGGGCTGGATCTGCTAAGTTGTACGAATACAGATTTAACAGAAAAAATCCCCTGACTTTCAGATGCCATGACATTATTATCTGAAAAGAAATACATAGGAAATTTAGTAACAAAATGTAAATTTAAATAAAAACTTTCAAAATTTCATTACTTGAAAGTTAAATATTTGCAAATCTGTCAATTTGGAATTATAGGTGTCAATAAAATTGTTGCATAAGGAGACATAGGGGGAATATTGCATTAGCAGATAACAATATTGACAAGTATGTAAGAAAAATAATCATTATACCTGAAGAAAAATATTATCACTATACAAACTAAAAATTATACTTGATTTTTCAGCATTTTGTACTTTCAGAGATTTAATATCATTTACTGATTTAACTATGTATGGTTAAAATGTGCTCAGTGGAAATATACAGCCTACTTCACATTTTGTTCTATTAACACATCACCATTCAAAATATAGCTTCATGAATAAAATAAACTATTTCTTAAGCTGCATTGAAGATCAAAATCCATTTATATTTTTTTCTCAGCAGCATATACTCTATCACTGATATAAACTGTTGATATAGTTCAAGTCAATCAGAAAACCCAAAATTAGATAACTTAACAAAATTAAGAATGCCATTAGTTCCTCTTAGACTGGAAATTTCAATCAACAAATGCAAAATCTGACCAGACTTTCTGTCATGGCAAATATATTTAAAATTAATAAAAAAATTGATAATAAACATCATGAATGTCTTACACTGTAAAACTAAATAGAATATTTACAGCTTTAAGTTTCAGATTTGCTCTTCGGTAACAACCTTAAGTATTCAGTTGCAAATGAGGCAGAAAATTAAAAAACTGAATGAAATTTATATTTTTATCTGTATAAATTCTAATTAAAACTCAGAACACATAAATGTTAAAAAATTCACTCATTGTTAAATTTGAAAATAAACTAAAAATAACAATGATAAAAAATGGCAACTTCAATGTTAATCTGTTTTTCTATATATAAAAAGATCTATTACAAAATGTTGGCACAAATACTTGTATTACATTGAATTTTATGCTTCTAATAAATTTTAGACAGAATTGAACACAACACTATTTTACATATATTTTGTTATGTTTGTTTTGTTTTGTTTACATATATACCCAATCTTTACCAATTTGATGATGCTGATCAAAAAAACAACATTGCTAGCCCTAATTTCTTCTGAGTGTTTATCTACTGAAATCTGACTATGCAAAGAAATGCTGTAAAATGTCTGACAATGTCACAGTAGTATGGCAACAACTGTGGAAATATGCACAAAGCAATTATCTGATAAGATGAACAGAGTTAATGTTAATCGAGAGCACAAATAGCACTCTCAGAACTCCTGTCATGCAAGGATGGTGCAGCTCCCAAAATGTGCAAAAGTAGTACTGAAAGATAAAAATTTAGGCATTTTTTACAAGGCAGTACACTGCAGTCTAGTTGAATTACAGATTTTAATATAAGTTAAAAATAAATATATAGAGAAGTTAAAAACTAAAAATAAGTATGTATGAAAATGTAAAAATATATTTTTATCAATGGAGCTGAAAATAACAGTACTATGAAAGTAATGGCAGATATGAAACATTTTGACTGTTGTGCAACATCAAGAGAAACATTAAAACATTTCAAAAGTCTCAGGAATGGTTTGTCTTTCATACAGCATCAAAACAAACATGATAAAAAGAGAGCTATATTCTGTAACATCTATACTGATGGTTGTTTAGCTGCCTAACTTCTCCTCCCTGTTCTTCAGAAAAAAATTCCATCAAACTCCACACAGTTAAGTTATAAGTATTCATTCCCCCCAAAAAAACTGCCACTTGCTATTTTTATTGTGAGCAAGATATTTGCATTTTATTAGTCCAAAGGGGCAATTTGCCCAGAAGGACTATTAACTTCGTTTTGGCATTTTGTGTTGATTCACGATAAGCGTTATTTCACTTTTCAAATTGTTGCCACCAAATATTATCACCCTGTGTTATATTTAAAGAAATTAAATAATCAAAAATCTGCATAAATGTATGCATGTTTCTTGCATTGTGATAAAACAACGGTACCTAGAGCCATCAAAATTTGAATAATGTAATCTTCCATAGAATATGGGCAATGTGGAAGACCTCATTTGAATTTGAAATTTGTTTTATTATTGATTTCATATTTTGTAACACTTCAATAAATTTTTGATTAATAAACTAAACCAGGGGTTCTCAACCGGTGGTACGCAAGAGAAAAATAGGTGGTATGCACAGAAGCAAAGTACTTTTGACTACTAAATTCAAAAAATAAAACCCTGACATCCTGACCGAGTTTTTTCTCTAACACTCGTGAATTTATGCGATCTGAGCTTTGTTCAAGAGTGATGGGGGTACTAAAGGTTTACAGTTTTTGTTTAGATAGTATGCATTAGTCAAAAGGTTGAGAACCACTGAACTAAATGATTTCAAAGTGAGCAATGGCAACACTGTACGGGGAGGGGGGGATTATCTCCAACACGTGCGACTGTGTGTATCGGAAATTCTAAAGATATGCTCATTTTAAAATTATTTTGTGATATTGCTACTGAATTGCATTTTATGGTTTAAGTGCAAAGAACATGATATTTAATAAATAAAAGTAACACACAAAATGTTTAAAAAAAGCCCCTTTGGACGTAATTAAATTTGATTTTTACTTTTTATGTTAATTTTGGTCTACCCACTATATTTATGTCGTTTTGAGTAGTTTTCTTCAAAGTAAGCAGAAAGCATATGACTTAACAGCTGTTGTTTATCATTTGTTCTTAAACACATTATCCGAAGCACATTTTATAGACTTTAAAATCTTATTTTGAGGTGCAAAGAAAACATACCACACAAATGAGTAAATAAGAAAAAAAGTTTTTCTTACATTTGCAGGGACGTTAAGTCTAAAAAATGTGCAGTTACTACAGAATTACATTTGATACTTAAAATGCAAAGTTGGAGATCAGGATATACTCTAGGCTTCTGATATTTGCTGTACCGCTTATTCCCTTCATGAATGGGAATTTTTACCCTAATGGTGGGAAAAATGAAGGGTAATCCCTTACCCTTCACTTTTTCCACCATAAGGTGCTGGTGAACCACATAAAATAACGCAGGTCAAATTAACTGATCTTATCAGCCATGCCTTTAACAATGGGATCACTAGACAGACCATGTGAAAGTAACAGCTACAGAGAGCTTCTGCCATTTTTTTTAAACAAAAGGGGAACTTACCATGTGCCATGACTTCAAACATCTTTTTGCACAGATGAATATACACATATGTCAGAAGATTGACAACTTTTAATGATTATTTAATGTACACTCTGATTGCAGTTTTGGTGCATTATGGACATATTCTTCTTTCAGTGTCTCTTGACAATGCAGCTGAACTTGTGGAAACTTACGAAATTACGAAAGAAATTCTTCGGTAGATAAATTTCACTAGGGATGTATGTTTGTTATGCCTTTACTGCATTTACAAGTTTATAAAAAGGTTGGACAAAATAATGTTGTTTCCTGTGTTATTGAGATAGTCGTGTAGTAGAGAGTTATTTACATTATAAGAAGAAATGACTCCAGATACATCTTTCACATCCAACGCAAAAATGTTCGTACAGAACTTTTTGCACAGACAATGAAAATATTGCTTCCCACATTTCCTATCAAATTTGAATTGATAAAGTACTTTGTGATGGTATTATAGATATGCAGTCCAAGATTTGCATACTTATGCAGTAAGTTTGGATAAGAAGCTATACTTTATGGCCCTCCAGTATGCAATTGTCAATTTATTGCTAGGGTAGATATACAAAAAATTCACCAGAAGTTGACTAAAGAGTTACATATACCTTACCACATGCTGGCACATGATTGGCTATTAAGTGATAATACCACATTACACGTCTGTGCATGGTGTGCATGGTGCATGGAGTGGCAGCAAAAGTGTTAACGACAGTGAGCAAACAGCACAAACAAGTATACCGATGTATACGAACAAGTATACAACCATGAACAAGTATTTTGAAAAGTATACCAAAACAGAAGACCAGATAATTAAAAACAAATAGCAGAGAATGTGATATACAGAAAGGCTGAGTGCTGATTGTCACTAAAAATACATGTTATCCATTCTCATTAGAATTTCTTTAGCACAATTCTGGTAAAGTCAGAAAGGAGCAATTAAAAGCTTGACAAACTGCAAGAATGGAAGAAAGATATACAGGGAAGTGAAGTACCGCATGTTAGTTGATTTCTGTTGGAGTACTAAGCATGACAGGATACAAATTAGCTACAAATATCAAGCTAAAAAGCAAGGACATTTTCAAAGCTTTAAATATTCATAGTGTTTTGTCCAAACAATCATTAGTGTTTTTCTATTATTCCCTCAGTTTTCCTGTCAAGAAGAACTGGTTAAGAACAATACTGGTTCTAAAAATCTTGTAACTTCTGAATAAGAATCAATCTTAAAAAAATAAAGAGCAGACTTGTGTTTAGGAAGTGAAATTTAGTAAGAAAAACTTATTTCATTTTCTTTGTTTAAGCTGAATCCTCAATATAAGAACAAAACATTGCTTATGGGTGTTAAAATTCAAAAAAGAATGTTGCCATAGCTTCTAAATAAGATCCAATTATACAAAATAAAGAGCATATTCATGTTCAGAATGTGAAATTTAGCAACAAAAAAATTTATTTTTTCTCTGAAACCCTCTTCCACCCACTCCCCTAAGCTAAAATCTGTAAAACAATTTTATTTAGATTGATTTATTGCGAGCTTTTTTACTAGAAATTCAAGTTTTGTGACACGAAAACTTAACTTTTTTAAATTTGGCAGATGAAATGACACAATGGCAAGGAAAATAATGAATTCCCCAATAATTATTTTCATTTAAAAGTTGCTAACTCTGAGACCAGCTTCTCTAGATCGAAATTACTTCTGAATGTTGTAAAAATTCTTGATTGTAAATTCAAAAACTAACTATCCAGTCATTCAGGTAATAGACATTCACAATATTTTATCAATAAATATTAAATCTATACACAATATTTTCCTGTTATTGCAACTGAAAATCAAAAGAGGTTATTCAAATATATTTAATATCCAAATTCCTAAAGATCCATAAGATTCTGATTAAATCCATAATAAAATCATCATACACTTTTTGGATGCATTTAGAAAAATTATTAATTTTTAACTATTATTTCCTATCATTATTAATTTTAATTATTATCATTATATTTTTCTTTCAGAAGTACATAAGCTCTCTATTTTCCTAATCATTGTTTCTACGGATAAAGGAAATTTAAATCCATAATAAAATCATCATACACTTTTTGGATGCATTTAGAAAAATTATTATTTATGAACTATTATTTCCTATTATTATTAATTTTAATTATCATTATTTTTTCTCAAATTTACGACCATTCCAAAGTTTATAAAACTGGCATTCTATTTCATCTTTATGTTTCTAGTTTAGAAGCTATTCCATATTCCTTAGCTAAACTTTACCAGACTTTTCTCAATTATTTTTAAAAAATATACAATACAATAAGGAGGGAAACCGTCATTTGAAATTATCAGTAAAAACTAAAATTATTTCTTCCCGTAATTCAAATAAAGAACTATTTTTGTGTTTTATTAATGTTCTAGTTAAAGTAGTTAAATGACTTAGTTACAATCAGATTGAAGAATGTCCTTTTTCTCACAGTGAAACTGGAAATTTAACCACTATTATTAAAATTTCTATAGATCACACTTCGATTTGGCAACTGTAATTGTTTTCAAGAACAAACATTATCACCATTATCAGATTAACAATGGGATTCTTTCCTTAATAATATTACATACACTTTTAACTCAAATTATTTAAGATACTGCTTTTTATATTTGGCATTCATTATGCTTGAAATCTTCAAACTTTTTAATGGGAGAGGGGAAGACTGAACTGCCATTAAGTTTACTCTTGAAACTGAGTATCTTAACTCAAGCTAACATTCTGATAACATACAATCAATTTTATTTCAGCCCTACAGTTTATCAAACACCCCTATTTGTTAAATTTCTACACCATATTTAGTCACTCTGATTGAAAAAATTAGATAAAATAAAAATCACTCCTTTTTGGGCGGATCCTTTTAAATTTTATTCTGTACAGTTTTCTCTTGAGCAATTTTTCCCAACTCAATCAGTAAGCAACAATTTGAAAACTAATGGACAAAAGTTTCTCCCCCCTTCTCTTTCCACTACTAACATTTATTAAAAAATTTCTTCTCTGCATAATATGCATTATTGGTGTTACTGTTGTTAAACTGTACATAAAAACAAGAAGGACTATCATAAATTATAAAGACCATCATAAAAATAAATATAATATAGACTATCATAAATTTCTTCTCTGCATATATGCATTGTTGCTGTTACTGGTGTTACTTTGCACATAAAATCAATCACAATAATCTCACTATCATGCCATTTCCCCTTCTATTTATTGCCAAATCATTTCAAATTTGCTTTTTGTTGAATTAAAAAAAATTTTCACTGCTCATTTTTAAAAACATTCATTTTAGATTTTAATTCTCGGCCATTCTTATCATTATCTGAATATGAATTATTCTTATCATCACATTAGACAAGCAAAGCATTAACATTTTGTAATAAAGAGTATGGATTTTGGAGAGGAGGGGGGGGGGAGATGAAATATATAAATCTTCTCAAACTATTGGCTGTTGGCTCTTTTGTCTTCATACAAATTTTTGTATGAATAAAACTATGTCAAAGGAATTTCAGGTGATGCACCAGATTTCTTACAAAACTAACTTAAAAATGTTGATTTAATTGAACCAATGTAAACCCACATCATCTTAAGTAATGCATAAAATCCAAATATCTGCAAAGCCTCATATCATAATTTTTACAATTTATTCCTCTTTTTTCAACAAAAAGTATCAGAACTTCAGGTTTTCCTTACTACACTAAATTACTTTTATTTCATATATAAGGTATTTTCTCCCTCCTTCCAGCATACTTTCGTACTGTTAATGTTAGCAGACTCGGTGCATATCTGAAGTCTTGGTGAGGGCATTGCACATTTTTAACATCTTCTGCCTCAAAATTACCTAATGACTTTACACATCTACTTAAAGAATGTATTTTTAGATATATATATTCTTTAAAGAAGAGGCACTCTTGTCAATCTCATCAAAAATTAATAATTTTTCAATTTATTTTTTAATTTGTCAACTTAATTTTTTTAATTTATCATTCTATGGCTGAATTTTACCTAGTTTTAAATTTCAGGCTGGCATGCTTCTCTTCCAATTATGCAAGTGTGTGATAAAAAAAAAATTGCTTAAATTTCAGTGAGCTCTATTGCATTTTTTGTGCTGTTTACAAAAAAAGATAATGAAAAACAATCTATCACACTTAGTTTACCTACAAATCACACATTAATTTTTCCCATTTAAAGCTCTCTTAACATACATACAAACTATGTTCTTTAGTATTTAATCTATACTGTTCTTTAGTATTTAATCTATATAAACTATGTTCTTTAGTATTTAATCTATATAATATCTATACAGTATTAATTTTTTATCCTCATATGTTAACAAAGCTATGTGGGGATAGTGATAAGGAGGGCGCTTCGTGTTCGCCTGTCTGCTGATAAATACGGCAACTGTAAGGAGAAGTTTTGGGAGAAACACAGACAGAGAATAGAGACCAGCTGTTGAGGAGTAGTACGCCTATCTTGTCCCGAAATAAAGATGAGTTTTTTATGAAACAATTTGTCAAAGCATTATCTAAAGAAAAACAGTTTCTGGGTTTATCTAATGCAAAGTTTAAAGACGATGTATTTGTTGGGCCTGACATGAAAAAACTTTTGAGTCTTAATGAAAAAGAAAACCTGTATTTAAACTTGTATTAACCAGCTTTCTTGGCAACAAAAGAGATCCGAACTACAAGACCTTTGTTGCTAATTCGTTGCAGAACTACAAACAGTTGGGCTGCAACATGAGCAGTTTATTTCCGTCACTCAAGCCTTGATTATTTTCCTGAAAATCTTGGATAAGGAGGGCGGCGCTTCGTGTTCGCCTGTCTGCTGTTGAGTTTGAGAGCTATGAGTGAGAAGCAAGAACATTTTCATGAAAACTTGAAAAAAATGGAGGGGAGATACTGAGGATGGTAGAATGTTAACATGATGGCAGACTACAGTTAGATGTTAAGGAAGAAAATTTTCAAGTTCATGATAAGAAAAATAGCAAAAGAAGTTTTGATGGAAAGCAATACTGTTTCTATAAAAACTTACAATGATGTTTTAGTATGCCTTAGTCACTTCCTTGCTAGTTTAAGTTACTTTTGATATCAGTGGCAAAAACTACATAAAGATCAAAACCAACAGAGCTTTTTATAATTTTTTTTCAGATTTGTGTTAAAGAAAATATATCCAAAAAAGTCTAATAACATCTTAAATAAATATTTCATGAAATAAAAATTATATAAAATAAATAGATAAACTAATAAGGTAGCAAGTAGAATAAAATTAAACTACAAAATAATATTAAAAAACTTAAATTATTTTCTAAATAATTTTCACAAATAAAATGCGGCCTAAAGATATAAAAATGAATGAAATTATTAACACAATACCATTTGGTATAATTGAAAAACAGAGAATGCACCAAGGCTAGAAAATTTTAAAAAATATTCAAAGGTTTAATTACACATATTTTACACTATGCCTACACATATTTTATACTACTATGAAAAAATGCCTACCGAGCTCAGACCCCACATTCTGACATGATTTTTCATTAAATGAATGTGATTTTGATGAAGAAATGCTTCCTGACTTGGACATCCCCGAAGGCAATTTTTTTTCTAACTGCTTCTCCACTTCTGAAAGACGGAAAAACAAAAAGATTACTTCTAAACATATATCAAACATAACAAGTTTACAAATTGTTCAAATGAATTATGGTGGCCTCAAGAAATGAACTTTAAAACTTTATCCTAGGCACCTGAGCATATTTACTAGAGGTGTATTTAATCAGACTGTGTAAAATATTCGTATTTTAAATAACAAATGGAAGATGGTGCTCTATGACTGCTAAGTTTATCTATTTAATTTAACGTACTAACTTATACTATAATGATTTTTTGTAAATAATGTTCCAACTTTTGTTTGTAAATATATAAAAATTATTATTTAGCATCTCTAATTCTTAAAAAATGAAATTTATTCCCTGTAAATATGGCAATTAGTTGTGATTTTGTACTATTTCTAACAGTCAAATTTAAGAGATATTAGCAATTTAAAGATGTAAATTTTGTTACTAAAGTAGCTGATATGTGGCAGTGAATCATCAAACTGGCCATTATTTCTTTTTAGAACATTATTAAAAAAAAAAAAAAAAAAAAAAAAAAGCTACATGTCATAACTGAAAATTAATACAGGGCTATGACTTGTCTATGAAAGTCATTCTGAGATAATATGTGCTAATTCTGAGTTAAGCAATAGAAAAGGTGAGTGCTATGAACTGATTAAGGGCAGTCTGACGTCTGCATCTGATGGCTATCATATTTGCTATGAAAGTCATTCTAAGTTAATATCTAACTATAAATTACGTAAATGTTACGAACTGGTTACACACAGTCTGTGTTCCTTTTCCATTCTCACAGGTTTGATAATGTTTTTAACTCAGATTGTATTATGTATTGCATTATACTGTAATAATAAGTTTAATACTCCATCAAACCGAAGTCTACAAACATTATCTGCTTTCCTTAAAAAAGTAGAAATTAATGGCTAATCTCTAGAACCAAAAATAAATAAACAAATAAACAATCTTCTAGAATAAATAAAATATGCACATAAAGTGATAGTAGCTTACCTGATGACTCTTCCTTCAGTACCTGACAAATTTAACACATATGTTCTAAACTGACAAAATTTAATAGCATTTTACTTCTGTAACCCATTTTTATATATTTTAATGTCAAATTTTTAAAGTTCCCATTGTCTCATTTTTCTAGAGTAATATAAATCATAGCTGCCAACCTTGAAGTCTTAAAAACTGGGAGAAATTTGGAGCTTTCCGTACAGCATGGCAACACCATTTCAAAGGAATTCCACACTGACTTTAATTCATTTTACAATGCACGGTTCTGGTTACTGAATAATTTGTAGTTCAATTCTGATGTAAAATATGTTAGCATTTAACCACTTAACTGTTTCATTTTCCTGCCACATTGTGACCAAAAATAAGCATAAGCATATTTTTTATAAACAATTTTGTATTCTAATCAATTACATGAATTCAAATCAGAGATAATAAATTCTAATAATCAGATAAATCAGAGATTAGAGATGCTAATCTAATAAATCAGAGATAATCAAATTAATAAAAGTCAAAACTCTTATTAATTTTAGATAGTTTTTAATTACGGCGAAAATAAGGCATTTGTACTTAGTTGGCTTTCTTCTCATGAAATTGCGAAACTGGAAAAAACATTTTACAGGAGATAAATATGACCACCACTGCCGCAATTTTCTTTCACAGTAAATTCACTTCAATTTACTGCGAAAGAAAATTGCGGTGGTGGTGGAGAAGGATTACTAGTATCCATTTCTTAAAAGTTCCGAACCTGAATTAGATCATCTGAACTTTCCATTTCCTCATCATCATTAGAGAATTCTGATAAAGAACTTTCAGGACTACCAGAATCAGAAAACTCAGATTCGCTATCTGATCCAATATCAGAATTATATTTTGTTATGAGCCATTCACTGTCACTCATCGTTCTTTAATTTCAAGACAAAATTGGGAAGTAATATTATTCCCAAAGCCTAATACACTGAACCCATGCAAACAAACTCATTGAATTTCTTCACCTAATGAAAAGTGGTAAAACCTATTCTTGAACAACTGATTTTACAATTCAGTCTCTTCTAGACTACTAGAGACTTCTATTAGAAACACTGCAAAGTAAAAAATGCGAAAAAGCGGGGAAAATTAGTAGATTGGTGAAGAAAATACACTGCCTTAGTGGTGAACGGGCAAATTAAAAAAAGTCCCTTTTCGCAGCACCCGAATGACGTTCAGGCAAAACAGTTAAGTGGTTAATTGGATATTCTAAATTTCACGTTCTTGGGATAATTCCATTTTTAATTTTCTTAAAGTTTTATACTAAGCATATCATAAGTAGTGAAGGACAACTTTTATTTATCCACAGGTACTTTTAAATATGATTAAAATAAAATTAATAATTAATGTACATAGCATATGTGTGGATAAACTTAGTAACGTATCATATATTGAAGTAAACCAAATTAAATATATATATTAATTTGTTAAATGTTGCTTGAATCTTCATATAAATATCTACAATTATCTACAGCAGGTTAAGACAAGTCAGAATAAATGAAATCTAATAAGATCAATAAAATGTAACAAGAGAAAAATACAATTCAGATGAAATAAAATTTAATAAGAAAAGCTATTCTCAAAATTATTACAGATGGGAGCATGGAAACTGCTTATCTTAAATTTCATTAATTGCTGAGAAACATTCTCATTAAAGGCTAAGAATTTAAAACCAGAGAGTTGGAAGCTATGATAAATAAATACAGCATATGTATAACATATTTCCACTGCAGAATTTTTTCAAACAATTCTAAATGCATGTGTAAATAATCTACATTTAAAAATAAAACATAATAATAAAATTTTGAAGCAATTATCTATGTGGTTTCTCTGTCATTCTACTTTATTTTATTTATTTAAAATAATTTGATTTTATTACATGATAACAGTTTGCTTCTACCTTTTCTTTCAGATTAGAAATGAAAACATTTGTATAATTTTCTAATAATTTTTAATATATATGTTAAAAACACAAAAAATATATATAGCTAAACAATTCAAATTTTCCAAAGCAACAGTATACTAAAAAAAAAAAAAAATAATAATAATAATATCAGAACCGATGCTGAAGTTAGCTTACCTTCAATTATGTTAGAATTCTGAAACATATTTTCTAAAATTTCATGAATATCTTTGAAAGTTGGCCTTTCATTAGGTTCCCACTGCCAACCTATTAAGAAAAACAAAAGACAGACATCTTACAAATATAAAACTTTGATTTTTATTTGTGAGCATGCTAATTTAAACAAGTTAAATTGAGAAGAAAATCAAACATATTTAACTCCTATAAGAACACATGTTCATTATAACAAAAGGTACACATGCGGTCATTTTGACTATGTATGCAGTTATAATATTTTATTACTTACTTTACTATTTAAAAAAACACTGTAAGGCAATAAAAAACTAAAGAACATTTAAACTCACAAACAAAGATTATTAAGCATGGCTGATAATAAAGGTATAACAATTTTGAAACTTTTACAAAAGCAGAAAACTTGTTACCAAACATTGACATATTATATACTGGTGCAAAAAAAGTTCACAAACTCCCTCAGTTCCAATCAACCAGTGTTGCCAATATTAGAACATAAAAATGCCCATCAGTCAAACTGACTGATGTGTACTCATAGTTGTTAACAATATCCAGAACACGATGCATGCCAATATATTAAATTAGTATTTGTATATTCAGTTCATTCTTTCAGACCACGATGGTAATTATATGATCATAATTTTCTAGTTTAAATCATAGGGATGAACATTATACTGATGATGTATTTTTCCCAAGTATTTGTTCTCGTCTCGTTCGGCATATAAATTTTTGGAGATAATTTCATTTCTCGACATTTTTGTAAAGAAAATAATATGCTTGTCTATTCTTCTGTTTCCTTTATAATATAGGGCAAGGCTTATATTTAAATAATATGAGCAGACTTTAATTACATATATAATATACATATAGGCTTATATTTAAACAAATTTTGCCATGTTCTAAGTCAAGTCATTTTTTACAAAGCTGTCACATTCATTTTCCTCCTACAATGAAAAGCTTTCCAACAATTCAGTCTTTTTTCAAGCATACGTTTGTATCTCAGGTGGGCCACCTGTAGCTTGTTATCTCATCAAGGAAACAGAAAGCATTTCTTTCTCCCTGCAACAGACACATGAAGCAATGACACTATCGGTACTGAGCTAGCCGATAAGACTGGCAAAGCCTGCCACTGAAAGTCACGTTATACATTTTGATTTCTAAACTTCTTTTGATTGCCTGAAATCCTTGCTGAAAAAAAGAAGTATGTCACCTTGGCAGGCAAGGTGGTATGACTCTGATTCCAAAGAAAGGTTCACTTACAACTGAATTTCAATAGTAAGTGAAAGAGGAGCATGAGTGACAAGTATCTTAAGCCTTGACTCGTCATAGACATTTTCCCTCTTACTACTAAAGGTTCTCGAATAAAAATTATGCTTGTCCTTGAGGTATAAGAAATGGTAATTTAGAGCACCTGTCATTTAGTTTTTCTACTATGAAAAATACTGTATACAGATTTATTTCTATATTACAGGTCAACCTAAGTTAGCAACTCTGGATATACTAGAAAGTGTATGTGATCCCTGAAGATTATAGTTCTATCATTTTGAGAATAATATTGTAAAAATTACGCTGTGAAATATGAATACTGCTGAACAAGGAGAGCGTAAGGGAAAAAATTCAGCTTTTTAATTAAAAATTTGCTAAATCATGTCAATCATTTGATACCAGCAGGAAGACATCCCCTTTTATTGGCATTATTGGCGAAACTGCAAATTCCAGCAACCCCGACTTCACCCACACTCTCAATGAGAAAAGCAATTAAAGCATTCATTCATTCACTCACTGGAGGAGAAAAAAAGCAATTATCATGCGTCTGCATCACCTTCGACATATTAGTTTAATTTTCAGCCTCATAAAGCTGGAAAACCATTGCGCAGTGCCACTAAGATTATCGTTATGAATGTTTTTGATGAATTACAGGAGCATTTTCCTAATAAATCCGATAACAATATTGTTACTTTTGCTGCTGATTTGACTGGTGTTTCTGTAACAAGCATAAATCACATGAAATCCGAATTGAAAGAAAATGGAGGATTTTTTGACTCCAGGTAAAAAACGACCTCTGAAAGTCAGTATGCAAACCAGAATCAAACGATATGATGAGTTAACTTTAGCAACAATACAAAGGAAAGTTCATGGTTTCTTTTTACACGGAATAAAATTCTCACTGTGCAAAAAGTGCCTAAAGTTATAAATGATGCAGCTGATTTGCCAAATATGTCCATTCGCACAGTAGGACGAATTATGAATGATTTAGGATTTGCGTACAGAAAACAAAAACGCAGTCAATTTTGATTGAATGTGACGATATTCAATGTTGGAGGCATAGATATCTAAGAGATATAAAAAAATATCATTCACAGGGTAAGAAAAATTATTACACCGATGAAACTTGGGTTAATTTTGAGCATTCTAAAACCAAAATTTGGGAGGATACAACTATAAAAAGTGCTAAGCCCTCTTTGAATGGTCTTTCAACAGGTTTAATTGCTCCCTCAGGAAAAGGCTCACGATGTATAGTTGTTCATGCTGGTAATGAAAATGGATTTATTCCTGAAGCATGTGATATATCCAAAGCTAAGAAAAAGAAAGGAGATTACCAAGGGGAAATTAATTCAGAATATTATGAAAACTGGTTTAAAAAAAAAAATTACTACCTAACTTGCAACCAAACAGTGTAATTGTGTTGGATAATGCGTCTTATCACAGTGTTTTGTCTGAAAACATTCCTTCTTGAAGTACAAGGAAAGCAAACATTCAGCTCTGGTTGACAGAAAAAAATATTCCTTGGGAAGCTGATATGTTTAAAGCAGAACTTTTAGTTCTCGTTTCTAAGTTTCGAAAACAATTTGAATTCCATTGTATAGATGCCGTAGCTGCTGAAGCCAGACATACTGTCTTGCATTCACCACCATATCATTGTGAACTGAACCCAATTATGTTGAGTAGTGTGAAAGGGTATGAAGTATCCGAAAACAGAACTTTTAAAAAGGACGAAGTCCGTAAATTGATTGAGAAAATAATTGATTTGGTGACTCCTATGCAATGGTCTAAATGCATGAGGCATGTAATAGAAAAGGAAAAGAAAATGTGGAAATTAGATGGTCTGGTAGAGAACACCGTTGAGTGCGTGCAATTTAATATTGATGAGTCGAATAGCTCAGATTCTTCAAACCATAATCTTAGCGGAATTGAATACTTCAGTTAAAAAAAGGCTCTTTTCAGGGCCACACATTAAAAATACAAGGGCCGTTTTCAAGGACACAAATTTAAAAAAAAAAGCAGAACTATAAACAGTTATAAACAACATTATAAATACAAGCTAACATCAATTAGAAAATATAACAAGAAAGTGTCCCACCAGTAGCCGAATGTTTAAGATCACTGAATACTGGTAGTTTGACATTGTTTGAACCCAAGCGAACTAGCTGGATTCATGATCAGTTTTTGTGGTTTTTAGCATGTATAACGTGAATATGAGCCCACTTTCTTTAGAAAGTATTCCACGAATATATCTCACCCCTTAATCAGATAGCTCTTGTGTGCTTTGCCATATTCAAATCACCTAACCTAACTCATACGGAAGTACTGATCAATTAAGTTAACTATGGTAGAAGGAACAAGGATTTCTGTCTAAAGGATGAGATGTCTTCGTGGAGACTTTATAAGGGTAAAGGACTTCTTTTATATAATACACTGAGATACTCATGCAGAGCTTACAAACATTACATTACAGTTTAATTCTTTTATAATTTTTTAGATCATATGAACATTTGCGCTTTATAATATATAACTAACAAAAGACATTTCTAACGTTATATTTTTAACTGATTGGTACAAACTAATTGGTATAAGATCATTTACGTCAATTGTCATGTTTATTTTATATTTTAAAGTTCTTAATATTTTTCTAAGATCTTGAAATTTCTAATGGTGTACTCTTTAGTCGTTAGACTGTATTCCGAAGATCTCAGTTCCTATTATTTTTATTTATTTTATTTTTGATTTTAAACAGTAATAAAAAAGATAGGATAAGATGTACTGTAGGAGAGTTATTGTCTGGGCATGACTGGAAGAGTATATGTCTTAGGAGACAATACAGGATATAATTTTTATTGATGTCTGCTACAAAATATAATCAGAGTTTTTAAATAATCGGAAGTTAAAATCAAATTAACATCTTTAGAAAATAAAATTCGGCATTTTTCTCTGGTTCGCCGTTTCAGAAGCAACAAACTGCGTAAACTCTTAAAAATTAAGAGAAAATAACTTCTAACAGATTTTCTAAATTTATATATTTTACTTTTAACTAAGCAAACAGTCTTGGCAAAAAAAATTTAACCCAAACTACAAGGAATACATTGTTAGCTCATCCGTTTCAAGTTTTAAGTAATGATTCGGGTTTTAAATGTCATCAAATTCGTATGCGTCATATTTAGATTATAGTGAAAAATTTCATATAAATTAAAAGACAATAACATGCCCTACATTTTACACTACAATGAACTAACAATTTCAACTGCAGCTTCATCCCATAAAAAGATTGTTACTTAAAAATACGCTAGATTTGGCAAGAAGTCGCCAAATGTGTGACGAATTGGAGGAACCGAATTTCCGCAAGCGGTTTGGTGTGTATGGAGAACTTGAAGAACAGGATGAAAAGCCATGAAAAGGTCGTTCTAGCCTTGTATGTGTACTCAGGTTAGCTTGTCGTGAAGTATCATATTGTTAAATTTAAGTGATTTATGTAAAAAAGTAGTGTCTATATTTCGTAAAATATGTCGATAATTGAAATGGAATTGTATATTGAATGAGTTCAGGATATTCTGTCTGTTGTATTTAAAACTAAAATGTTTATATTGCTAATTTATTCTTTTGTACATGTAAGTAACATATGTTTTATTTTATGTTACAAAGTTTATAATTAAGTATTATTTGTTGGAGTGACTGGTACATCTCACCAGTCTTTAGAGAAGTTTAAATCTGTAGCAGTTAAATCTTTTTGAGTTATTTTAAAGCAGTATGGTGGCTGTTCTGCTGTTTGTGAACCTGGATAGTCCTGTTTTAGTATTTAATATTCTGTTTATAGCTCTACTAAACCCTGCTACATCTCTAATGGTGGTATAGGTAATTTTCATGTCATATTAATATTACATTTGCAAACATCAGTTGATAGAGTTAACTTACATTCCTTCATAAGGTCATATATGCGGGCAGGGCAACCTGCAGGACATTCCATGCGGTAACCAGATTCCAACATGTGGTAGACATCTGTAAGTTCTACACCAGGGTAAGGAGACATTCCGTATGTAGCAATTTCCCATAAAAGAATACCAAAAGCTAAAAGTATTTTTTAAAAAAAGTTTATGTTAATTAAATGCAAAATTTATTTACAAATTAAGTCTACATTTTACTTAAAAACAGTAGTAATTAAAATAATACTAACACTATAGTGTATATTTTAGGCACCAAGACCCAAAATACTTCTCATAAAATTCTAATACATTACTTGATAGAGAAATTTATGTTGAAAAACACCTTATATATTATGGAATTGCAGAAAGGGAAAAAAAACAATTATAATAAAATAAAACGAAAAAAAAATGAAAGGTTTTAGACAATTTTGAAAAATTGTTATTGATTCTATTTTTATCGAGATACAAAGAGAGCTCTAGAACAAACATGAATTCAATGTAATATGAAGCATTAACAATTAATATTACTCTACTTATTACTACATATTAATGTGATTTTCTTTATCTGGCTGCTTTACATTTCTGGTCTAATAATGAAATAACATATGCTTATAATCAAAATTGGTTTTACAGTTTTTCAAAATATTCTCTTGTGAAGATCAATACAATTTTGCATGTGTTTGAACCAATTTTCAAAGCATTTTTTCCACTTGAGGTAACTTCAAAACATGCATTTTGAATGTATCAACTGCTTCTTCGAGTGTTGCAAATTGCTGATCATGTAATTTATTTTTGATGTGCAGTTATAAACAAAAATCATTCGGTGCCAAATCAGGGCTATATGGCAGTTGACCCATCATTTCAAAGTTTTGGCCCATAAAAAATCCCTTTGTTTGAGCTGATATGCGAGAGCTCGCATTGTCATGATGAAGAATGATTTGCTTCTTCTGCATTTTTCGAATTTCTTAAATGACTTTCAGCAATTAAATGGTCATGTACCATTCAGAATTCACTGTCCTGCATTGCTGTAATGCCACTGTCACCACATGACTGATAATACCGCAGAAACAGGCAACCATTTGCTTTGATGTGCTTCTTCCACAAACTTTTGTTGGATTTGGCTCGTCTTGGAAGACCCATACAGTTGACTGCTGTTTTCTCACATGCATAGATCCATGATTCATCACCTGTTTAGATGTTATACACAGCCTTTGATACACCTTGAAAATATTTTTCCAACATTTCCTTACACCAATCGACACGAGCTTCGTCAGATTATGTGGAATCCAATGTGAACAAATCTTTTTTACGGCCAAATATTCATGTAATATCTTATTGGTGCTTGTCATACTAATGTCCAAAGATGAATCAGCCTCACGGTATGTCATATGATGATCTTGCTTTGTCGGTTCACACACAACATCGATATTTTCTGGCACAACAACTGATTTTGGACGACCTTCATGGAATTTGTCCTGCAGCGAACGGTGACTATGACTGAATTCGTTATACATTTTTTACAATGGCTATAGGATGGTACTTTATTGATGTATAAAGAATTAAGTTCATCGTAGCACACGTCTCGATAATTCATATCGAAAGTTATGAAAAATAATTGCACAAAACTGTTCATGAGTCAATTCCATTTTTTGCCAAGATGAATTTTTCATATTATTGTAAACAACACAAATCACATTAAAATGGCAAAATGTTCTGAAGAAGTTATGGTTAAAAATATCGAAGTGGCCTAGTAACAGTTATCATTGCCAAGGGCAGAAATATAAATAGCAGAAGCTGTCCTCTTGAACCCTCCCCACTAGCTCTTCCTAAAGTAAAATGACAATATCGATCAACATTATCATCTTTCATGCATGCAACACATAGTAAATAACGGTTTGCATATTTTTTGCAATATTGCACAATTACAGACCATCTTTATGCGAGCATAATTTGCATACTAAAACAATATATGCATTGAGGTTGGAGCATCTGCTGTTCAAGAGTTTTCAAGCAAATGTTTCACAAGCTTATATAACTATAACTTATGACTGGAAAAAAAAGAAAAGAAGCTGCTGAACTATGTCTTTATTGCTGCGAGTCTAATAAAACTTTTGGTATGATTACAATTGGGCAAAATGTTCCACTTTTAATTTTGGTGTTATGGAAGTACATACATAATTTACTTTACTAGCCCTGGTGCGGCCAGCCTAAAATATGTGGTATAAAAAAGAGAAAATGAATCCAGATAGTGCGACTTCATAAGAACATGTAATAACCTTTATAAAATAAGCCAAAAATATTGCTTTTTTGGGTTAAAATAGGGAGAAGGGAACCCCTTGTATTATCATGAAGTTGTTGCTTCATTTATCACCAAGTTGTTGTTTTATTTATGGTAGCCTGAGTAGTTGAATGTTATGGAAACCCTATTATGACCATAATCGGTTGCATGATTGCGGTAAATCCATAAAGGTTTGTGTGTGTGTTGGTTAGGAAGTATATTGCTTGTTTTGTGGTTTAGATGGTAAAATGGTTGAATGCGGTAAGATTAATTTGAAGTTTCTGTATGATTTGGAAAGAAAGGTGAAAAGAGCATTACTCGACAGGTGTATGAAGGTTTACTTAGTAGCTATTATTAGGTGTCCTGTTCGTAGGAAGGAAATGCGTATGGTTGAACAAAGGATATTTTTTACTCTTATTTTGTGAATTTATGTGGCGATGCCAGTTTACAGATTCTAGTTCAAATCCTTTTAGGAAGTTTTTGGATGTTGTTAAGGAATTTTGTTTGACTGAAGACATGTTAATAATATAAGGTAAGTGGATATTTCCTTTATGTAGTGCAAAGATGAATTTCTTTTTTTTTTTATGTTATTTCATTTTTTGATTTAAAATGTCATTTAAGATTATATATTTTTTTGTTGGCTGCTGCTTTAACTTTTTAAGTGAATATAGTTCGATGTGTACATGGACTATAACTTATGTCAAGGGAGTATCAATGTCAAGTCAAGTCTTATGTTACTTATGTTAAGTTACTTATGTATGTTACTTATGTAACTCAACTTATGTTAAGTCAAGGGAGTGCACAGTGCGAAGTTTGTGCAATTCTTCTGATGTTTTTTAAGTGAAAATAGGTCGACGTGCACATGGATACCGAGTTTGCGCAATTCTTTGTCTTGATATTTTAGCTTTGTGTAGCGGAGGTCAAAGAATGGCACAAACTCGGCATCCATGTGCTGCCAAAAAATTGCCAATTTTTGCCATGGGTACCCATAAATATATTTTTACTTTTTTCTGATTATACACATTGTTTTAATGCAGTGAATCTAAAATATGTTCTGAAAAGGACTGGAATGAAGAAAAATGTTTTGAAGCATTTTATTTTTCAGTAAATAAAAGCATCTTATTGTTTAACACATAACATGGAGAATGAAATACGGATCAGCTTATTTCTTTCCTTCAGATCTTTTCAAATATATTTATATTAGTTTTGCATTTTTCGCACGTTTATACAAAATTGGAAATTTTTCAGTATACAATTGATAGTACCAATGCTACCTTAAATATTGATTGTTTTTGCTTTCTTCCCCTTCCCTTCAAAGAATGATTTGAAGATTGGAGACACAACAGTCCTTTTGAGCAATGATCATATATTTTATTTCTGTAGTAAAATTTCTTTTTTACGCTCAAACTGTGTAAAGAAATATAGTGAATCTTTCTAAAAGAACATCAGGAAAGGTAAAGAAAGGACTTGATGATAATATCACAAAACAGAATGAACTGAATCTAATGAATATTGAAGAACTCCTGTATGAATTATTAGCATAGGCAAAATAACTGCACATAAAATCTTCAAATTACTATCTAACATTTCAAAGTAGGATTTGCCTTTAAAATACTTAAAAATTTAATAGGCCATAAAAATTAAAGGATTCTGTATTAATTAAAATATCCAAAAAGATGGCAATTAGTTTGAGATTTTTCAGTGCATGTGTGTAGGGGTTAGCAAAATCAGAAATTATACTGCAAATCTATTCAACATTGAAAGCTATCTAACTTGAAGAAAACACAAATCGAACAACATGAACCAAAACTTGGAAATCAATTTTTAAACAAACAAACAAAGTTTATAATTCTTTGATTTTTTTTCCAAGCAGCAGCCAAGAGAATTATTAACAGAGCCACAAGTCTGAGTTCTGGATTGACTGCAATAAAGGGGTGGTAAACTAACAAAATGAAAATGAATTTTTTTATAAATTAAAACTTAAGTTAATAGAATTTAAAGATTTTTAATAGTTATAGCTAATAATTTTAATTAAATGCCCAAATATAGCTTATATTATTTTAAAAAATTCCTAATAATTTTAAATACTGCAAATACTATCTCATAATTTTAAATGTAACAAACACAATATTTAACATAAAATCAGGTATTCAGATCGCATTTTTTCAATGATTTATTAGAAAATGCATGAAAGTGAAGATGTATTTAGACATACCCCAAACATCAGATTTTGTAGAAAATTTATTATAAGCTAAACCTTCAGGAGCTGTCCATTTGATAGGAAACTTAGCACCAGCATGGGCAGTGTATGTATCATCTCTCATTAAGCGTGCTAATCCAAAATCAGCAACCTTCACAAGATGTCCATCACCTACAAGGCAGTTTCTGGCAGCTAGATCCCTTTAAAAAGAAGGACGAAAATATAAATGTACGAAATATATCATTTTAGGAAATTAGTATTACATGCATTCAGATAGATATAAGAATGAGAGATATTAAAACTGTGCAACAATGTCTCTTTCTCACACACATAGACACAACTACATAAGCCTGAATACAAGACAACACTCCCCCCCACACACACACTTGAAAATGCTTTTCTAGAAACTGTAGCTTTTAACAAGTGGAACATAATTTTTAAAAAATGTTATGATAACTTTAAATGTATTTCTCAGCTATTTAGTTTTAATCATATCACAGTACTTCTACTACTTAATTATCTTTCTTACAGAATACTTTCAACATATGTCACATTTTCACATGCTGCTGTCTTCGATATAACATATAAGACATATATACACTTTTTCATATAAGACCTTTAGAAATTCAGAGTCATTTTAGATAAGTACCATACAAAAAATTTTGAGATACTTATGAATGAAAAGAGATAAATATGAAACAACTGTAACATCTTTTTGAAGTTTACATTACACTACTTTATGTATGCCTACTCACACAGGAGCATTTTTAAGATAGTTAAAACAGATTTTGTTCAAAAGCTAACATTTATCAACACTTATTTTCTTTGGTGAATTAAAAATTCAAGTACAGTAGGTATGGTAAAATCCTTAGTGTCATTCTTGGCATTAAAAAAGCTCAGCAGATTTTGCAAGCATGTGCATAGGAATACTACTGCAGTTCTAAAAAATTAGACTCTTGTTATAATTTTAGATCATTTTGCAAGCAATTTGTTTAAGCAAGTACATTAAAATCTCTTATTACTAGCACCCAATTAACCAGTAATATCAAAATAATGGCCCATTTGAAGTTCTAAATTTAAATCTGAAATCTAGGCCTATAAGGTAAAAAAAAAAAAAAAAAAAAAAATTGTAATGGACTCGCAATCTGAAAACTTAAATATGAAAAACATCTGCTTGACAGGGCTGCCACTCAAAAAGGAGAATGAAATTTCCTGACTTTTCCAGGTGTGTTTCAAGAAAATTCCAGATTATTCGTGTAGTGCACATTGGCTGTGCTAAGGGTAAATTAATTATAGTACCACTTAAACATACAAATTTGTTAATTGCATATGACTTTCTACAAATTATATATGTCTTATAGGCCTAAATTTCAGATTTAAATTTAGACCTTCCAAATGGGCCCATTACTTTGATATTACTGGTTAATCTGTGCTAGTAATGATAGATTTTAATATACTTGCTTAAACAAAATGCTTGCAAAATGATCTGAAATTATAACAAGAATCTAATTTTTACTATATATATATAATTCACAAAGCATTACTATTATAACTATACTACGAGTTCTTTTTTACACTAACGATTGAGATTAGAATCTGTCCAATCAGGAATTAAAAATGTCTTTTCTGCAGATATTTTGCAGTTAAAGGAAGAAAGAAATCTGCTTAATGATATTTTAAAATAAACTCAAGTATTTTATATTTATTTAGCAGCATTAGATGGTATGTTAATATATTGCTAGAATTAGTTTCACAAGTATGCCAGAGAAAACTGCCTGAAATTTGGAAGCATTATTAACTAATAATAAATAAATTTAGAAGGAAGAAAAGAAGTTACATTAAATGATACAATGACATTAGAATAAAGTTAATTACTTAAAAGATTAAAAATTGAATTACAAAAATTGACGGTATTTTGGCATATATACATATATTAAATGTTAGCTTAGATGACTTCTTCTTATTATTTTTTATTTTACCGCAAAATGACAAATAAAGCATTTAGGAAAGAAGAAAAGGTTTAAAAGATTTTGTTTGATATAAGAAGTAGGGGAATTTACTTTCGTTCAACATGCACTGCACATGAGCATGCAAATCTCTGGATTCTCGAGAGTACTGGAAACTTGCTTTACCTTTCTAAAAGACAATCTGATTGGCACTGCAAAAACTGGCTCTACATCAGCTGTTGGAATGATGGTCATGCGATGCATAATTCCCTAAGAAAGTGATCTCTTCCAACACTGGGGGAGAAAAATTGCTTCTTGGGGGATCGCCGTATGAAATTCCCTGACTTTTATATTTTGACTAAAATATTTAAATTCCCTGACATTTTTCGTCAATTTTTGAATTCCTTGACTCTTCTCAGTTTTCCAGGTAGCGTGGCAACCCTGTATATATTCAAATATCTCAAACAATGAGGTCCTATTGCTGCTGGTTAAAATGGATTCTATTGTACTTGCATATTATTCTGCTGTAAACGACTTAGGTAATCGGGTCACATGATGCAGGCAGCAGGACTTTTTGATCTATCCTGAGTGTAGAAATTTCAAAAAAAGACAATAATGTTGTTCTTTGGCTAGCATATCTGGGATGATAGTATCAGAATAAATACAATTCATTCCTGGTGTTGTGGAAAATGTAACTAAGTCATTTCACTTCAAGCCAGAATGAAACACAGGATGGTGAATATCAGTTATTGTGATGGTGGGTGGAAGGTGCTGTAGGTGAATGATGGGTGGGAGATGGAAAATAATCGCCTGGAAAATGCTACATGCAATAGCCATCCATCCATTTAAGCTGCAGCAATGAATAGTGGGATGCTGTAGTTTGTGATCTCAGGCACAAAATTTAGCCATTTGCTGAGAATCAGGAGTTGCACTGATACTCGAGAAACACAGATAATAGAAGATAGAATGAAATACAGATACAGAGAAAACAGAACACAGATAATATATGATAGATAATAGAAGATAACATAACATATCATAACATACAAAAGAAGATAACATAAGAAGGAGGGACTAATTTCAGAGTCATACAAATTTTTAATACAATAAAGATAGGCAAAAATAAAATAAATGTGATGGGGGGGAATAACAGGCAACTGGGAAAATGAAAAATAAATGCAGCAATGAAATTAGTAAATTTTTACAGTCAAATAAGTTACAAATAAGTGAAAATAAAAAGAAAGCTATGACTAGATTTTGACTGCAGCATGATGGTTTAACCATTGAGTTTAAGCATGTAGTTTCAAAGCCCATTGATAATAGCAATTTATTTATTTATTTCCAAGTATTTGAATAATGTCAATGATATAGTTAAATATAGTAAGTCAGAAATCTGGCTCGTGCTACTTGTTTTGCTGCAAGAAGCATTATTAGTTTTCTTGGGAGGATTGGGTAGTAGTAACTGTTCTGTGATTACTGGTTATTGGGCTGCTTTCAACATTGGAACTAATGTGTTGACACTTGGTGCAACTAATGCTCCATTTTACATTTAACATACCTAGCCTCAAATAAACAGTTTTCAGAAGAGTGATACCAATTCTGACAATTTTCTGACAATTGTGGAGCTATGGTATCTGGTTTTTTTGACATAAATTTCTCCATAGTGAATGAGAAATACATAAGATTTGTAAGTTCAGAGATTTTTATCAGCTATTTCATTTTGAATGACACATATTAAGTATGGTGACATAAGAGGCTTGGTTTTTCTAAACGTGAATTGCATAATTACGACAGCAATTTTGTTTTTATCTCTTGTGGCAGGCAAGGCCATGAATCAGCCCTTTGATGGGTTTCTTGAATCTAGTGTTGATGCTTTTATTGATATTTTATTAACCCCTAAGTGGCATGACTTTTTAATCTGGTTATGAGATCTTTTGTCATTTGATACTTATAATTTAAAATATTTCAGAATTCTTACTTTTTTTTTAATAATATAAACATTATCTTAATGAATGGAAGTTTATGAAAACAGAATAAATTAAGCAATTATAAAAGTTAAGCTAATAAAGCTGTTTTCATGAACAGATATAAAAAGCTGTGCCACTCAGAGGGTTAATACACACTGAACTATCAAGTGCTCTTTAATAAATGGTTACTATATAATATATTCATATTTTGCCAATTCACATGGTAGAATAGTTGAAATCACACACAGCTGCTCCTTTAGACACAAGCTCGACATGCGACAACAAGACAAGCTGGGTTCATAGATATTCTTTACATCCAGAATAACATGTTTTGATAATGTATGCTTAAAATGAAACAACAACCACAAAAAAGGGGGAGGACCATATTTTGTTACCTATAAGGCTTTCTGATATACTGCAAATTTTACCATTATTATATTTTTCAGTATATTACTCTGTCTCCACATTACTCTGTTTCTTCATCAGCAAAAAAACAGAGCACTCATTTAAGAAATCACTTTCAAGAAAAAAATTGACCCTACCTATAAGGAAGATTAACTATGAAATTTTGTGATACTGTAATCTCAGTTCATAAGATTTTCTATTGCCGAAACAAATTTTGCTGCAAATTAAATGGATAGATAGCTGTTGCATGTGGCATTTTAAAAGCAATTATTTTCCAACTTAAAATAAATGTACCTCTAAGTACTGATTTATTCCTGAACATTTCCCCTGAACATTTTTGCTTTATTTCTGCCACTCAATGCAATAAGCCTCATCCAATCAAACAACCAAGAAATTATCCAGAATACATATAGGAACTATGCATTGCTAATGAACCTTTTCATAAATTGATATGTGAACTTTGAGTGATACAATTTGACAGTCACAAAACACCTTTCATTTTTCAAACTACAATTGCCTAGCAAGTTGAGTCAATAAATGTATTTCTAAATAATTAAAAGTTTTATTTTATTTTTAGTGAGTTACCTAATTAATATTATTTTAAATGCATTGTATTTACAATTTAGCCAACTAATAATCATGACTATATTCTCATGAATATTTTCTTATTTATTAAAAGCTCTTTTTAACGTCATACACCACATATCTGATTTTTAAATATAAAATGTAAGCAATGTAATCAGCCCATTGCTTGTATTAGGTGTGCATGCTCGATATTGTCCACCTACATTCAGGCTCACTTGGGCAAAGAATGCTGCACAAATTCTTATGATAATAGCTGTAAGCAGCTACTGTAAATATTTATGTTTTTAAAAATTAGTATAATTAAAATATTTTATAACACATAAATTTGTATTTAAATTGAGCATTTCACATGTCAACACTAAATGGAAAGGAACGTGGAAAATGAAATATTTTTCAACATTAATTTGTTTGGTTTATTGAGCTTATGGCAAAGCACACTAGGGCTATCTGCCTGAGGAAAGGGATGTCTTCGTGGATGACTTTCTAAGGAAAACTGGCTCATATATACATTACACCTGGGGAAAGCCATGAAAACGCCCATGCAGCCAGCCTGCTCACCCGGAATCGAACCCAAGTCGAAACTACCAGTGTTCAGTAACTTTACCACTCGGCTGCTGTTGGGCCTTTTTCATCAATAAATGCACATTTACAACATTTACTTGAATCTATAAGTTGCAATGATTGCTATTTTACTTTTTAAAATTACACCTGTTATAGCTGAGATGGTTGCTTAGCTTTGCAAAATTATAATGGCCAAGCTGTCTTCCAATTAACCGAATTAACTATAGTTTTAATTCTAAAATCTTCCTAGTAAATACTTTTATGAAGTAAATATTACACTTACCTATGAATAAAGCACCTTGATTCCAAGTATGACATAGCGGATGAGATTTGAGTAGCCATATGCATTAGAATGATTGCATTTATACTATCACGCGTAGTGCTGCGTAAGAAATCCAGAAGATTTCCATGCTGCATGAATTCGGTTATGATATAGAAAGGAGGTTCTCGAGTACAAACACCTGGAGAAGAGTTTGGAAATTTAATTAATTTTTGAATTATATATATATGTAATGAGTTCACATGGGTATCAAAGATAACCTTTCATTTTTTGAAAAACATTCAGGGGAAAAAAAATTATTGATTCATTTGATGATATTTAAATGATGAATATAATGATGACATTGAACATTCAAAATACTGTTTTGTGCCACAGACTTTTGATTCAATGATGATTCATTTAAATACTGACCTGGTTTGGAAACACATTTTCTCCCCTCATTTCCATTTTCTTTTCTTCTGACATCTAATTTTTTTTTAGTAAAGTAGCTCAAACTGCAGTTGTAAATGCCACATTTTATTTAACTAGCTTAGATTTCTGACTTTGGAGATACTTTATTCGTTTGGGCACATTCTAGTAGATTCTATTAATTGTGATAATTTTGTAGATAACTTAATGATTTTAAGACACCGGAGATACATGTAATGACACATTGGAGAAGAAAGAAATTGCAGACTGGCACAATTGCCAAGTACTGCAGACATTACAGGATTTAACAGCAAGATAATTGTTTGCTGTAAATTTTTTATTTGGATTTCAGTATACAATATCCTTCTTTACTGAAATAATTTAGAAGTAGTAATAACTATTTCATTAACTTATTGCCAAGGATAATATAAATTTTAAATTTAGATATTTTCAATAATATCAGTAAATCATGAATTATCCTCTTAATAACATTTCTCATGGATAAATTTTTTTCCAAGTAAAATATATTAAAAAAAAATGATGATGAAGTCATTGATATAGCAAGATTCTGCCTGACCACTTCAAGTTAGAAGCTTCATCCTATAAAATAAAGCTAGTGATAATCAATGAAGGAAGGGGAATACAATTAATTTTGTTGATTTTTACACTTATTCTTTTAAAGATGCATGCTTACTCTTCATGCACACTACTTTAAAGTTCTCTATAAATTGCAAAATGCAGAGGAAACTGGTGAGACAACAGTCATGCACTCTCTTATGATATGAAATCACTCTTCTTGAAACAGAAAAAATATTCTTTAAAATTATTTCTCTTCTTTTAACCACTTCGATGCACATGAAAGTGTTAACCACTTCTTAACTAATCAGATGAATTCAAAAGTCGTGCATTCCATTAAAATTACACCATAATCATTCTAGTTACTGAAATTTCAATATATAGAGAACACATAATGAGATTCAAGCAGATATAAGTTAACAATCTTATGGCATTAAACACCCCCTAACTTTTATTTATTAAATATCATGTTCTTCGCACTTAAACCATAAAATTTAATTTAACAGCGATATCAAAAAATATTTAAAAAAGAGCATATCTTTAGAATTTCCAATACACAGTCTCGCGTTCTGGAGTGTTTTTTTTCGTATAGTGTTGCCATTGCTCACTTCGAAATCATTGAGTTTTTTGTTAATCAAAAATTCGTTGAAGTTTTCCAAAATTTGAAACAGATAATAAAATAAATTCGAAAGTCAAAATTCTGACTTCCGAGTGAACATGTTCAGTTAATTATTCAAAATTGGTTATTCAAAATTGGATGGCTCTAGGTACCGTTGTTTTGTCACAATGCGAGAAACATTCATGCAGATTCTTCATTATTTAGTTTCTTTAAATATAATACATGGCAATAATATTCAGTGGCAACAGTTTGAAAAGTGAACCGATGCAAAATGCCATTTTGAAATTAATAGCCCTTCTAAGTTAACGTGCTTTGGTTTAAAAAATGACAAAATGAAATGAGTTATCTAAAAATTTACAAATAATAAATTTTAAAAAATTCATAAATTAAAATTACGGTGCATAAGAATTATCATTACTTAATTATAAATGACACTTTTCTACTTAATGCATAAATATTTATTTCCAGAGTCTCACCTAAAAGTTGAACTAAGTTAGGATGCTTCATTTCCTTCATAATAGAAGCTTCCTCTAAAAAATCCTTCAAAGCCATTGTGTCTTCCTGCAGGGAAAAAAATTAAAAGTATTAATTATTACAAACAATTTGAATAAATAATAAATGAGAATTAGTGTTCATTTTCAAACACAACTCTGTATGACCAAGAAACTAAGTCAACTTTTGGCCTAACAAGCTGAGATGTTTCTTTGGCCAAAAGCATCATTATTCATGATAGTACAATTTCCTCCCTTGAATGGTTTTGTGCATGGAAAGAGTCAGCATTTTTGATATTATTAGTTCTATAGGCAGGAAATGAAATCTGAAAAATGACGTTTGTTTGGACAGATGAACTGTCATCACAGGAGAGAAGGGAGAAAGAATTAGATCTCGAAGATCCTAATTTCAGGTATAATTGCAAATTGTACTTTCTTAACTTTCTGATTTAATCAAGTGTATTATTTTTTTCAGTCTATTATTATTACTGTTATCAAAGTTAAAGTTTTAGTAATAATATCTCCATTTTATTCATTTTTCAAAAACTGTATATTCATCAATCAACCGCGTGGTTATTGGCAAAAAATATAGCAATTTGGCCTCCAGTCACATTTTAGTTTCATGAGGTTGTTATTTAAATTTTTCAACATAACTCTTACTTCAATGAATTAGATAACATCTTTTTTTTTTTTTTTTTGACAGCTCTCAAATCTTAATCCATTTCATTAGGGAGGGGAAGTACGAAAACTGCAGCTGGGTCAGAAAAGAAGTCAAATCGAACTCGTGATACTTAGCACAATGGAAGGAAAAAAAAAGTAGCTTTGATAGAAAGAAGCTAGAAATTTTCTTTCCAACCAATAGAGTATGTGGAGAAATGGAAAGAAATGATACATGATGATGACATAACTAAAGTTTTTACAGTGATGAACATTTCTCTATCACCCATTAATTAACAGATAAAAATGTGGCATGGTTTTAAATCATTAAAATATTGCCACAGAATGTGAAGAATGAGCTTAAGAGGTTGCTGAAAATGAAAAGATTTTGATTACTTAACAAAAGTTTTCTATGTGGCAAAGAATGAAACTTTATAACTGAACAAGAAATTATGTTGTTTTATAACATTAAAAAGAAAGTACTGACACATATAACACATAAAATGAAATTGTTGATACTACACGTTGAACAAAATTTTAATGACACAAAACATATGTTAACACAGGGTCTCTTTCATTCTTTTTTTTCGGGAGGGGGGGGGAGGATTTACCCGAAGATCATAAATACTTCACTATTTTAAACTATCTTTCACATTTTTAAATTTCTACGTGTAATCTTAGAAATTTAAATTGACGAGCTAAAATCTATAAATTTTCAAAATCTGGAATTGAAAAGTACTGATGATTCCAGATTTTGGACTTCATGAAGATGAGATAAACCAAAATTAACTGGCACAAAAATTGCAACTTAGGTAAATTCACAATTATGTAAAGCCAAAATTTATTGGCACAGCAATTTTGACTTAGGTAAATTCACAGTTATGTAAGTGAGCAAATATTATAACTTTTAAATTGAAACAAATCAGAAATAAAAGTACTGTAAACAATTTGTGTTTTCAAGACCCCATTTCATCACTTGTTTATCACCATTACAGTACATTGTTTATTTACTCGTAAAATGGATTCACAACACAAAGCTGAATGCACTAGCAGTAAACCTAAAATACAGGTCTGTAATTATTATTATGAAATTACGGCAACATAGTGGTCAGTTACATTTATTCAATTTTAATACATATTACAGTGATACAAGGATCAGACCAAAATGTTGCCAAAACCACTGCCAGCTTGGCGATATCTTGCCAAATTCTTGAGATACCCATTTACTTATATTAAATGTAATATTAAATGTTAAATGCACTCGTCCCTGTATTCTTACTTTTCCGGCATAGCTTTCTCTTAAAATTTGTCACACGCTACATTACACACAAAAATACAGTTTTACTTATTTATAATTCTATTACAATTATCTAAGTACAAAATTTGCAACAATATGTTTGAATGAAGAAAGAAGATTACATCAACAATGCTTCATAACATAAATCAACCAATTTTTACAATGAATACAATGGCTCACATTGAAAGTATGAAAGATGTGGTAATTTTGAAGTGCGCAACAATGACCAATGCAAGAAGTTAGGCCCAATTTCAGAGATTGAGAAACTGGCCTTACTGGATAAAGGATTTGGCACAAATTTGAATACTGAGTTTTCTGACTATCCGGACTTCACATACAGAATTACAAGAGAAGGCCATCAGCACAGATATGGAGAGTGCATTTAAAGCCAGTGCTCAATGGCTTGAAAGATTCAAGAAGCTTACATATCTACACAGCAACAAGGTTACAGGTGAAGCAGGAAATGAAGATATTAATGCTGCAAATAAAAAGCATGTGACTCCAAAATCTACTCTAGACATGTTTATGAGATACCAATCACAATATTGTCCAGGTGATAACTCAGATGACCCCAATTATTCTCAGCATTAAACATTGAGTATAGTAGAAGTTGCCAGAAAACAGCATTTCTGCTTACAATCATGCAATTCCAGCACTGGCTTTCCCACTACAAAGCCATAGCTGTCATAAGATACACTTTTTTTTGAAGAATGTTATCTTGGTTTGTTTTTATTGTACTTGCATATTATCCTATCGACTGGCCAAGTAGCATGATTTCATGCCAATTATGGATGACTACTTCATTTAGAATTCTGCAGTAACAACTGGCGACCTTTGCCAAATATCCACCAACGGTCAACGGGATAACATGCGAGTTTTACCATTTTTATACTCTTTTATAGATTTGTCACATTTTTTAAAACTTATACGAGTAAATATTGCTGAATGACACTTATATAATACTACTATGCAAATTATATATGTGTATATGTAAAATATAAAAAAAAATATGATGGCTTTGTTCTTTGCGAACCAGCAACCTTTAATTAACTTTCTGCAATTCAGGAGCTTGCCCCTAGACCAGAACCTTCTAGAATATGCTAGCCTATTACATAACCGCTACTATAAATACTGAGTACGTGCCATTTTTCAGTCAGACTGCTTCCTAATATCGCTGCTACAAGACTCTGTGCTGCTCTATCCATCTAGCCTTCCTTTGTTAGAAAATGTGATGATGCATAAAGTTTAAATTCAGTCGTACTTAGTTTAAACTACTATTGAATATGTGATTTGGAGAATTTCATATGAACTAAAGCATGATGTATAGTGAAAATTGAATTAAAGCTATGGAATAATTATGTGCACTTAAAAGCTAAATTATCTTGTGTTGTCATTTGGATTTCCGCCTTACCACTCTGCAAAACAATGCCTGAACTTTGATGCCAAGTTTCACCACAACTGCTAAAATATCACAGTTATTTATTTAGCTGCCAGGACGTTATTCAGTGTGGGAAAAAGCTCCTGTGGATTATTTTAGTGCGTGTTTAACTTTTCATCATCTACAGTAGGTCAAGGATATTGTACAGAGCGTCAAATCATCTGCAGACAGAATTCCCCTATATTTTGCTGCTTTTCCTTGGATACAAAAATGAAGTGTTTTTCAAGTGTGCTGTAATTGCCCGCTATGCGTAAAGTGATTGGTGAAAAAAAAATATTGTTGCTTCAAAATTTTGTGTAAATTGATTATTCGTGCTTCAAGAAGTGTGAATACAAGATCTAAAACGACAATGTCAACTAATACAGAATCAATAGCCACTGTCGACGCTACAAAATTTCAACTTCCTTTTTTTGACGGATCAAAAAGTAACTTTCCTATTGATAAATACAATGTCATATGACTCTTACGTAATTCTGGTGATGTAAACTGAACTAAACTAAAGCAGCCAATAGTAATTTTAGAGCAGTATTAACTATCCCATCAAAATGCTTTGAGAACCAAAACTAACTCAGTCTGACCTAAGATTTCATCCTGAACATTACAAACTTGCTTTCTACACTTTTGCCTAGCTACATTGCTATCTGTCTGCTGCTGTTGCTTTATTGGTACAAAGTTATAAAAAATGTAAGCCTTTTTGGAACAGTCACATTTAATGTGCCGACTTGTGTGTAACCGTAACATGTTGCTGAAAATAAAAATGAAGATTTAAATCTGCCCGCTTCTGAATATATTACACACACACACACACACACACATATATATATATATATATATATACATACTGAAGTATTTTTTTTTTCCACTATCATTTTCAATACTTTTAAAAGAATTGAACTCTTTTTTAAGATTATTTAATTTTATTATCTAAAATTTAATTAGGTTTTACACTAAATAAGTTTATTTATTTTCCTTTTTGTTTTACAAGAGTAAACATTTTACTTTAATTAAATTCAATTAGTATGCTTTTTTTTCTTTTAAACTAAAAAAATAAAATTAAAATTTTCCTTGAAATATTTAAATGTTTTCCTTTTGGTTTCAAAATTACATTTACATACAAGAATTTAACTTTTTGAGTGATTAATTTCTTGCCAAAGTTTTTTAGTTTTGCCAATAAAACCAAGATGGCAAAAATGTACGTATCATTATATACTGCCTCTCAAATTTAGACTAGAGTCTAATGGAAGTTCTTAATTTCGTTTTGTATGTTCTTAAATAACATACAAATGGTACAAAACAATGGTTTTCAACTACTTCTTAATTCATTGGATTTTCTGTTTAAAGGTTAACATTTAAATTAAAATAATTTTTCCCTGAAGTATTTTGTTTTTTCACTTTTGTTTTTCACTTTCGTTTTCAATTCATTTAAAGGGATAGAAGTCTCTTTATTTAAGATTACTCTAATGTTTCCAATTAGAATTTTTCCGTTGCTTTAGGGAAGGTCTAGAATTTTTGGGTGAACTATCATAATTATAATATAATTTAAATTCATTGAAATTGTTCATTGGCTAATTCTGAATACAGAAAAGCAAGGATTTTTGTAGAAGAGAGATTTCAATTAGTTTCAAAGTTCTTACCCCCTGATGAAGTTACATTGAGATTGATTGAATTCCTCTTCTGTTTTTGTTCACTTTTCTTTTTAGAAGGCATTGCTTATAGATAACTAAAATTATTTATTACATATAATCAGATTTTACATTAACTCTTTGATGGTCATCAACGAGCTCAGCACTCATTCCAGTTATGCACTTTAGTAGGTGCAAATGAACCAAATTGCATTACAAATTTAGACTAACACATATCATACGTATTTGGGAAGAAAGAACTGCCAAAGGATTGAGTATAAAATCAATTAATATACCTACTTAACAAATGAGTTTTTGTTTCTTTTATTATTCAGAAATTCTGTGACAATCGCTTTAAGAACAGATTAGAAGCATTAGTTCTCTTTAATGATTTTATCGCAAAATAAAAAACATTAGAACTTTGAATGCAGCAAATGGTACCATTGCCTGATAAAATTGAAGAGCTGTTACAAGCATACCTGCCTGAGAAAATGTTACACACACGGTTGGCAGAGTTTGGCCTATTCTAAAAAATTTCACAATTTTTACTAAATTGGCTCTGCTAATATCTAAATATCAAAACATCTTGGTGTTTCTGTTGATGTATTTATCAAAGACTGCAGAGTTTAGTTTTGCTTCAGATAAATAATGTATAAAACTGTAATAAAAAAAAGAGTTTTCTTATGCATTTTTTTAAAAAATATTTTTATCAATTACAAAAACAGTCTCGATGATTTTAACACAAGAAATACACTTTTTAGATGACAACAAGAGAATTCCCCTTCTTAACAAAATAACTGCAAGAAATTCTGAAGTTCACCATTAGTTGTGGTATAGGCATTTATATAAAACAGTATAAGGCCTACAAAATTTCTTACTAGGCCCTTTTTTTTTAACTGTTGTATTTCCAAATATAAATATTTTGTTGAAAATGTTTTAAATAAAACAAATATTCATACTTGGCAGTTTTAAATTTAAGGCACTGGTTTTGCAAAAAATACAAATTCTAATGTTTTACATGCTTCCTTGATTCCTACAGTTATATTTAGTGTAATTTACACTCATTCAAAGAAATAAAACATAAAATATTTCATTTCTACATGACAAAATTTGATTAAAATATATAATTTTAAAGTTTATGATTTTTATGGATTTTACAGTGCCAGAAATTAAATTTATTACCATCCTTGAAGGCTGGTTAAAAATATATTAGAATAAATCCAGGTTGTTTTTATTTCCATTTCAGGTAATCCATTTCAGGTCCTTTATGACTTACTAAAGTGTGACATTCTTTAATTTATGATGTGTTACACTAGTAGGTCAAAAGAATTTTCCCACAAATAATTTATAAGTTTTAAATGCTAAAATTTGAAAATATTTGTACTGGTCATACTTTTCATAGAAGCCTGCACAGAAGTTCTTAGAATTTAATATATTGTCAGAAACCTTTTTCTAAATTAATGTTTTATTTTTAACTATGTAAAAAAGCAAACATTTTGTTCTTAAATTTGTACAAAGTTCCTGACTAGATCTCTAATTTTAAATTTAAACATCTCTCTCAATTTTTGTTGGGCTGGGTTCATACATTTTATATTTTATTTTTATAATCAGACTAAAATTTTTCTTAGCATAAATAAAGGAATTAAGGAGGGGATCACATAATAAATCGGATTTCATAGTTATAATTTTTTTTAAAATTAAAACGCCAGTATATAAATATTTATGTCATCTGGAACACTTTTGTAATTGGTAGTGTATGTGTATAACAATGGTTACAAAAAAAGGGGGGGTTAGATAAGGAATTTTATGCATTCAAGCATGTATATATTATGATTTTAATAATGTTTCCTTAAATTACATTCATTACATTTTTATCGTTTACAGAAATATTTTTTCAAATTAACACTTCACCACATTTAGATTTCCATAATAATAATTGCCCCTTAGGTTAATAACAAGTAAAGAGGGGAGGGAAAATTTACCTTCAATGTTTTCACTGCAACAGTCATGTTGTATCTTTTCCAAATAGCTTCATACACATCTCCATATTGGCCACCACCAAGCCTATGCTTCATAACAATATCAGTACGTTCAATTTCCCATTCATCGGGTTCAGGGCTTAATGCGAAAACAGTTGGCTTGTTCCGTTTAGGAGCAGGGTATAGCAAAACAGTAATTAACCCATCAGTATGGATTGAATGATGATGCACTAATTCTGCTAGAGTATTGAAAGGGCATTCTGAAGTTACAAAAACCTAAAAAAAAAAAAAAAAAAAAAAAAAAAAAAAAAAAAAAAAAAAAAAAAAAATCCCAATTGGGGAAAGAAATTCAAAATGCTAAACATGTTTGAAAAAGTGCCAAATGCAGTACATACAATTAAGATAACACAAAAAAATTGCAACCGAATTCAAATAAAAACCTCCACCAAACCAAAAAGATATGTACTAAAAATATACCAACAGCAGTGGAAATTTATTTCTGGAAGAATGTGAAAAATCTTGTAAAACGATGACAGAAAAATTATATAAATTTAGCATTTACTTTGATTCTTTTTGAAAAATATGAAAAAAAAATGATTTAATAGAAGTTAGAACACATTCTTCAGTCTTTAGAGGAAACCAGATATTGTGTAATAATTTTTTTTAAATATTATTTAACACAACTACAAAACAAAAATATGGTTTGAAAAAGAAATGCAGATAAAAGGCTTCTGCTGAATTTAAGCTAATATATTTCAAATCTTATAACTCAGATAATGTTATAGAATACGTTATGAATACTTACTTTATGAAGAGCAAATTAAAAAAATAATCTTATATGGCATGATTAAAAAATTCTTAGAAAACTCAGATATCTTAGGATTAGGGCAAAAGGATAAAAGTGAAAGATTTATTTAATAATATACAGCCAAATATGATCAATAGAAAGTTAAAAACAAATTTGATATCAGGAAAGAAATACTGCCAAATACACTGCAAATTTATTCAGTTTAAAAAGAGAGAGAGAGAGAGAGACCTGAAATCTCTTTTATCACATTACATTGTAAACCGAAATTTAAGTAATTTTGTCAACCAAAATGCGGTAAAGGACTGATTAATGAAATAAATGCGATCTTACATTTTCAGCACTTAATACAAAGTTGAATCTAAACACCCATTTATAGAAATATAACCCATTTCTATAAATGACCATTTAGAATTGTACCTTTGCAAGTATGAAAAGGAGAGGATTAAAAAACAAAAAACAACAATAATAGCAATTTTTAAATTATGAAAGAATCCTTTTTTAATCTTTAAAAGTATTTTTATTAATATATGAATTATAAATTATCATATTTATTTCTCATAATGATTTCTTATATAATTAAGATTCTTTTTAAAAAAATATAATAAATTTAATTATTTAAATTAAAAAGTATGCTGTTTCATATTATCTCTAAATTATTCTTAAAATTATATTATTTAATTAAATGTAATGTATGGCTTGAGTACAATAGACATATTTCTCTCCTCTCCTTCTGAAAACCATCCTCATGTTACACATATGGCCTATTTTTTTTTAATATACTAAGATAATTTATTCTTTTACTTTATGTTCGCAGAAAACATGCATACTTACTTTTACCTCGGAGTATGGTATTTCCGCCAGATAATTTATTCTTTATTCCTTTACCTTTATGTTCGTAGAAAACATGCATACTTACTTTTACCTTGGAGTATGGTATTTATGCCATTTAATTATCTTTCTTATAGAATACTTTCAGCAAATTAAGCTTGATACGTGTGACCTATATGTATACCTTTTATTTTTAATAAAATATCACGAAACTGTTAAGTTGTTCTACATGTAAATCCATCTTATATCCATGTCAATATTATATATAAAAAGTTAATAACACTCAAAATTAATAGAGTCTCACTTTCATTGGTAGCATAACCTCATGAGCTCTAGAAAGACTATAGAGGAAGTATCTTCTTGTAGACAGACAAAGTCAGCAGAAGACAGACAGACTTGTCGACAAAGTCAGCAAAAGGGTGTAAACAGCCCTTTTATTTGAACATAAAGAAGTTACAATGACCCAGCTTGCATTTAACAGAAGCCAACATTTCTGGCTTAACTTAAACAAGTAATGTTGAACTAAAATTAAATGTAGCTAGATTAGCCTAACAGCTGATAGGATAAAGAAACGTGCAAGAAGGCTCTGGTTCGTAGAAAACTGGTGAGACAAGCCAAATGGCTAGAAGTACTCATTGCCATAGAATAAAATCGCTTTTTAGTCACAGTAACAACGTGGCCTCAAGTAGACAGAACACGCTATAAAATCAACTTGCGAAACCTTTGCTTAAATAGCACTTCTTTTCCCCTCAATATAAATAAACATGCCCTATCTCGTTTACATTCCGGCATGAAAAGTGTCGGGGAAAGGGAGAGTGATAGGAAAGTTACTTTAACTGAAAATTAACTATTAGTCAAAAATAAATAGATAAATCCTTACAAAGTCCATAAAATATGTCTGCATAACTTCAGTCACATGGCACTATATTGTTTCAATCACATGGCACCTAGCAGATCTTGCAAGTAAGAACCACCAATCAGTAAGATTATTGATTATAAATTAATTTACCAGACCTTAATAAGTTGAAATTGAGATATATTTTTTATTTCTTGCTTTCAAGTCACCAAAATTTTAAAGAATGAGAATTAGGAGAATTTTTAAATGTTCTAACAACATTTTTTTAAAATTAGTAATTAATTTTTTACCATTTTTTAAAAAAAATTAGTAATCCCAAATTTGATCCAAAAAAGTCATTTTTTGGGGGTTCATTTTACATCTCCAAGAAGAAAAATTTTATTAAAATTATTATTTGTAATATTTTTAAGCATTTAGAACGGCCATTTTACTACAAATAAAATAATTTTATTTTCCTTGGAAGTTGTTTTTTCTTTCTACATGAATGCCTAGCAGGGAGGTATATTTTAAACTTGTATATTTTAAAACATTTTAAACTTGTATATTTTAAAACAAGACAAGAGATAAAATCCAGCATCACAGTCCAAACAAAATTACTGAGTCTCTTTTTCTAATTCTTTAACTGTTGTAATTTTTCTTCAGTTCACATAGCACTGACTTGAGGGTCTTAGATTTTTTTTCTTTCTAATAAATCACATCTAAAAAATGCCTTTCTGCTAGTCTTATTGGAGCTGGTAAACATCCAAGAAGATTTACTGTTGTATACCTTTCAATCAATCAAATAATAATATCCAATAAAAAATACAATTAAAAATATAAATTTATATCTTTACTGCCATATTTTTAATACCAGTATCGAAGTTATTTACAGAACTTTCATTACTCCCAAACTCATTTACAGACATTTCAGATTCTGATTCCAAATCACAATCTGAGCTGCAAGAAATTAACTGTATGCAACTCTGAATCAGCCTTCATTTTATGGCAAAAAACAGTTTTAACTACTTGAACATCAATAAAGCTATCAAATCAACAATAAAATACATCCATAAATCTAAACTAAGGATGGAAGATAAAAATTCACGAAGTCATGCAAAAGAAGTGAATGCTTCTGAACTAATTGGAATAGAACAAAAAAGACTTTTCCTCTCACTGCATATGCCACAATTTCCAGATGCAAAATAGAAGTAGCAAAATTTGAGCAACCCACGATTTCCAAAGGGATGAATTTTTTTCCATCTATATAACTGTGCAATCCGCTCCAAAATTCATGATTTCATTTCGGCATTTTTGTGATGTTTAATTGTTTATTCAGATTTGAGTTAACAAACACCATTAGTTGTCCATATTTCTGCGAAATATACAAGCATGTTTTGGACCATTTTGCATGCTCTTTTCAAAGTTCATAGATGTCTGTAGTTCAACTCTCAATCTCATGAGACTAAATGCTTGACATTTTGCTAGCCATATATCCCCCAATCCCACAAAAAAAAAAAAAAAAAAAAAAAAAAAAAAAAGAGCCGGTTAGACACAGTGCTGTTTGTTGCTGAAAAAATTTTAATTGGCCAAAAAAAGATTTGCAAAGAAATCCGAATTTGTTGCAAATATTGTGAAGTAGAACTTTGCCTCAAGCCTTGTTTTGAAGTTTATAATACTAAGCTTCATTTCTAATCAATGTTTGAATATTTTTATTAATATATACATTTTATCTTTGTATTTCATAAAACAAATCTTAATTTAACCAAGGTTTAATTTTCAAAATTTTTCTTTTATATGATTATTCTTCAATTTCAATTTTTCAACAAACTTTTTTGTGATGTAATTCTATATTAAAAAAAAAAAAAAAAAAAAAAAAAAAAAACTCTTTTACTAAAACTTTTTACATATTTTAACTCTAAAATATTTGTAGGTTTAAAATATGATATTAAAAAAAGAATTTTTGAACCTATTTTGATAAAAAAAATGATGCAGCAAACTATCACTCAGTGGACATCTACTGCCATCTATACAACTAATTTGATATTCAAAATAGAAATGATATGAACAAAATAGTAAAAACAACTCAGAAATGAGATTGCCTGTATACTGCATGAGCCTTAAAAAAAAAAAAAAAAAAAAAAGCCTAAACAGAGTATGGGCTTTACTGTGCACAGAAAAACAGGTTAGTGGTTTAGTTAAAAAATTATACTGCACTGCGATTGAAGTATTTTCAGAACAGTGCCATGCCAACAATTTGATTTGAAACGGGTTCTCAGCCTTTTTTGCCATGTGCAACCCTTTCTACACTGTTAGACAATCAACTTCCCTCTCCTTCTCAAAACATGAAAAGTACATTTATTAAAGTAAAAGGCATTTATTTACAGTAAAAGGCATTTATTTAAATTTAAATTATTTTAAATGTGCTTTACTAATTAAACAAGAAGAAAATAGAAAATGTTGATAAATGTCAAAACTTGCATAAAAGTAATTTAGTAAATTCATAAACTGAAACTAAATACTTAAAAGGTAAATAAAAGGCTGACCACATTCTCCCCTGAAACCATGAAATCCTTCTCTCGTTGAGAACTAATGAACTAGAGGAACTAGAGTAAATTTTAGGCACTAAGACTTTCAAGTATATTTTTACTATCATTCAAAAGCATTAGAAGGAACTCATTTTACTTATTTTAAAACAGTGTACTTGAGAATATAAATAAACATTAGTACAGAATTTTACCTCTCTAAGATGACAACCACCACTATCCATGCATGATTGTCTTAGACAGAATTATAATTTTTCTTCATACCTAGTTCCTTTCATAAAAACAATAACTGTTTCAGAAGGAAATATGAGAATGAATATAATAAAATAACTCAAACATTTAGTGAAAAATTTAATGTTTATTAGGCTACTTAATTAACTGATGTATTTAATCTCAGCTGTATCAACTGTCAACTGCAATAATAAGTGTATGAATTTTCAACTGCATTCATACTGTATTTAATTTTTTCACACTGTATTAATTATACATTGAAGTATTTAATGCATTTTATTGCTTTTTCAGTATTATTGAAAAATATTTTATTTACTTGCACAGTTTGTAAGTTTCTCTCAAGGTCCAGAAAATACATTCCTCCATTTTTTTTTTTTTTTTTTTTTTTAATCTTTACACAGTTTTAGCATTAATAGACTTCAATAAAAATTTCACTTAAATTATGTAATTTGATAAGAAATTTTGTATGCATACATAGTTCAAGCAAGGAGCAGCAGTAAATGAAGTGGCAAAAAAAGAACGTTACTGTAAACAAGAGACTGACTTATTTAAAAGATACAGTTCTGTAATTATTAGTATAAATATTCATATAGTCTTTTTTTATTTGCCAAGAATGGGGGAGGTTATTAATGCAAATCCTGCTAACATAGACAAAGAAGTATATTTTTTCACATAGTAGGAAAAATATATGTGTAAATATGGTATTTACAAATTTACTAACACGTAAAAACATTAATATTCAATTATAATATTAGTGTTGATGAACACATTAAAAAATCGAAATGATTAACAAACTGAATTCAAAATACACATTTTACAAAAATAACTGCTGAATATTTAGGCTTTTCCTTAGCGGAATTCATGGATATGAACTTGACAGAAAAGTTAGAAGAAAGATAATCATGAAAATAGAAGATTATATTTCATAGGTATCGAAATGCTATTTTTTAGCATCAAATCTTTTTTAAAAAAATAATTCACTAATGGGATACATCTTCATTTTCCACAAAGATGAAAAGATATGCACTTGTTTCAAATAATAAATAAACAATTTTCAAATCATAATTTTTTGGAAAACAAAATTGAAAGAAACAATTATGCATTATGCTCTATAAAGCTTTGATTTTGTGATTTCTCTTTATAATCACACTGGTGTCCAAAATTAAAATTACATTTATACTAATTCAAAATATTTTGCAAAATTTTAACATTTGATGTCATATATAATTTGAAGAATAGTAAATATAATGCAAGCATCTAGTGGCTGTTAAGAGATAAAAAGATAAAAGTGATCAGCTTTGAAGTCTGAAATTTGTCTATAAAATTGTGTTTCTGACTGATAGATTTCAATTAAAATAAGGTTTTGAAATTGTTTAAAAAATTAACTGAGATGGAGAACCATCAGCAGATTTCAGGCTAGCCATCAAGCCTGCCAATCCAAAAGCTATGACATTTGCAGAAAATTGATAAATTACACTAAATGCATGATGACATGGAAAATTATGGAGAGTTCTCTCAGCATTCTCTTTGCCGCATTAGTGACAATAATTTCCTGACAAACTGTATACAGAGCTTATAAGAAAAGACCTTTTATACCAAGCAACAAATGTTCTCAACAATTCATTAGAAGACCACTAGGAGATATAAGAAACCTCCTTCCTTCTAGTAGAGACAGGTAACCATTTTTGGGTCCAGCAATATTAAAGACATGTTCTCTTCAGTGATGAGTCAAGATTCAATACATAGAGTGATTCTTGACAAAAAAACCCCGTACAGTGTTGCCATTGCTTGCTTTGAAATTGTTGAGATTGTTCATCAAAAATTTGTTTAAGTTTTACAATATATGAAATACAGTACAAAGTCCTTAATCCAGACTCGTCGGGACTTCGGCGATTCCGGATTATAGATCATCAATTTAAATCTGGTAAGATGGCATGCAGAAATTATAAAATTAAAAATATGAAACCATAATTTATGAAATAAAGAGCAATTATGATCTAAAGGGTATCAAAATTTACAAAAAACAAGCTTAATATTTATTTGTTTACTTTATTAAACATTTCTTTCATTGTAAGTTGTTTAAGTTGCTTCGTTTTATGTGCTAATACTTTCTCTTTAATTCTATAAACAGACATAATTTCTTGTTCAGTTACAAAGTTCCACTGTTCAAGTTCTGTAATTGCTGTGCCGAGAATACCAACTAACTTGTCAATCGAAATTTTTTCGTTTTCACTAACCTCTCTGTCACTTTCTTCATGCCTTTATCCATTTTTTGCAGCAATTCCACTTTTTGCTTGATGGACATCGAAACATGCTTCCGCTTTGTAGATCCTTTGGCAGCTCCAGAATCGGAAACTCTTTTTGACATAATCAAAAGTTCAAGCTTACTTTTTATAAAATTGCTCTAACAGTCTGCAAAAAATAATACGCCGAATCCAATTAGAAGATTAAGGAACTACGCAATCTGACACTAATTGAAATAGGTAATTAGAGCCTAGCTTATACCATCCGTTATACATTAAACATGCATGCGTAAACGTATTATGTGCATGCGTAAACGTATTATGTGCATGCGTAAAAGTATTATGTGCATGCGTAAAGGTATTACGCGCATGCACAGAAAGTTTTTAGCTTTGAGGTCCGGATTAAAGACCTTGTACTGTAGATAATAAAACAAATTCCAAATTTGGGTTTCCAGATGCCCATATTCAGGTGGAGGATTACATCATTCAAAATTTGATGGCTCTGGGTACCGTTGTTTAATCACAATGCAAGAGACGTACATATATTTACACAGATTCTCCATTATTTAATTTCTTTAAATATAATACAGGGCAATAATATTTGATGATAACAATTTGAAAAGTGATACAGCCTTTCAAAATTTTCAAAGCAAAATGCCAAAATGAAATGAATAGTGCTTTGGGCTAATAATACATAAATAAATAGAACAAAACTACACGAATTGTTTGTATAAATACATATTTCTGAGTTAATTTACTGCATTTTTTGGCTAATACACAGCTTAATTGCTTTACAATTTATTAACCTAAGAACTAGGAAAGATCAAAACATTATATTTTGTTCATAAATTATCAAGACACCACCACCCCCAACAACAAAAAAGATTTATAAATGTCTAAATGCCATGAGCATTTTAAAACCTATAAATCATCTGAAGTCACAATAAGAGAAAAACACAGGTTACCTTTCGATCAGAATCTTCATTTATTCGATAATGATACACTCTGCCTTCATAACGAACAGATATAGATCTTTGGCCAGGACTACTTTCACTTTCTCTCACTAAAAAGCTGCCATTGATGCCACTGCTAAGAAGATATTCAGCTGCATTTCGGGAAATAGGTCCATGATACCAAGAATGCTTTTCAAGGCTATTTACAGGAGTAATGTAATTACTGGGAACCCAGCCAACCAGACCATTCCATGATTGTGCTTCACACCATTCACCTGTTTTATTGTATGATAAGACTCGGACTTGTTGACCTATTAAAGAACAGATAAGGGTTTGTAAAACGTTGCTTTGAAAACAATATAAAAAATGAAGAAAAGTAGCTATACAGATTAATTACTACAGATTATAGTATCCTCATCTCTGGACAAAAAGTTGTACATAAGTTTTTAGTATCCATCCATATTAGCATAGCACTACAAAATTAGTTTTACCGGTACTATTCCGTTTCGAGGGTCGTAAAAAATCGCCAAACTATTGTTGATGCCAATGCTGTCAAAAATAATTGCGGCAAGAAAAGAAGTATAATAGTAAATAACTATCTAAGATTGATGTTTTAATTTAGATGAAAGGTTAATTTCATATAATACTTTTTTATTATTATAATTTATATGAAAAAGGCTAAACATGACTGAATGGAAACAAAAGAGTAAATAACTATTTCAGATCATTATTATAATTTATATAAAAATTGCTAAACATAACTGAATGGATGCCTGCATTGCTATTTCATAAAAGCTAAGCATAATTTCATCTTGTTGGTTGTTCAAACGTAATTTTCTATAATGAATGATGCCATTTCTTTGAAAATATTCTCGGTAAAGTGCAGAATTGCTCACTTATTTGTTGGCCGCTTTTGACAAAGGAAAAAACAATTGGATTTTTGTCAATTTTCTTTTACTTTTTAAGTGAAAATAGCTCGATGTGTACATAGATAAAGTCAAGGGTGTGCGTAGTGCCATTTTTGTGCAATTCTGGGATTTTTTTTAAAGTGAAAATAGGTCGATGTGTACATGGATACCGAGTATGTGCAATTCTTAAAAACGCGCCAAGCAGTGAGTGATTCTGCACTTTACTCAAAATTCTATTACAGACTTTTGCTCACGAGCAATTCCCAAATTGTTAAATCTATAGGATATCAAAAAAGAATATAAAAATGAAACTAGTATTCTAATGACATCTTAAGAAATATAGAACAATTATATAAGCTTACGCAATCTGAAATCAACGCGTAGGCTAGATTTGGCGCGATGTTAAACGGCAAGCTTGCTAGATTTGGTGCTTTTGCGCATACATTTTTGCTGCAATTTTTTATGGCCCTCAAAACAGAATAGTACCGTTTTATTTATATGCAAGATCTATTTCGCTCATCAATCATTCAAGAAAAAAAAATTCTAAAACTTAGTTTACAGCATTTTAAAACTAGCTTATAACTACTGTTATATTAAACTTAACAGTACTGTTGATAAATTAGATCTTTTCATTACGCAACCTAGTGATTAAAATTTTTAAACATGAAAATGAGTATTACATTAGTTACTCTAACAGAAAATAAGAATTAAAAATAAAATTACGCAACCTAGTGATTAAAATTTTTAAATTACGCAACCTAGTGATTAAAATTTTTAAAAATGAAAATGAGTATTACATTAGTTACTCTAACAGAAAATAAGAATTAAAAATAAAATTTACAAAATGGAAATATAATAACAGAACTAAAATCAAATAACATAGATTAAAACACTTCATTAGCAATATTTATTTTGAAAACAAGAACATTATTATAAGAGGTAACAATAAATTTAATTTTAGAATGGCAACAAAGCATGAAGAAAATTTTGCTTTTATATAGGACTTCCAAATGAAGCTAATTCCCATTTATTTTATCGAGAAAAACATGAAAATTCTCCTGCATCCAGCAGCTCATTCTATCAAGATTTGATTCATAGACATAACTGCCAATTTTTACCACTTTAACAATTTATGCACTACGACATCTCTTACAATAAGGAGATTATGATGAATTAAAATGAAAAGGAACAGGGTGAGAATTACAACTTGACTGATAAAATTCTGTCTAATGTTAATTCAAATGAAAAGACTCAATACATTTTATGAGATGAAAAGTTGTCTCTACTTTTCAGAATCAAATAACATGTAGTTCTGTTCAAAATACAATGAACATTAGTATTATCTGTTAAAGAAAATATGATACAGGAATTTAAGTCAAATGATTCTGACAGAATTTCGTAAGGCATTAAAAAGAAGAATTTTTTGCTCCTGAAGAAGAGGGACCTGAGTTTGATTACCTTTGAAATTGTTAGTGTCACTTAAAATCTATGTTAAAATAAGATTGCTGTTTCACATAATTTCGAATTTTGTACATAATTTTAAACAGATAATTTAAAAAAAAAAAAAAAAAAAACTCAGATTAGTTGATTTTTGATATGTTTAACAATATTTTCCTTAATGAAAAAAAAAAAAAAAAAAAAAAAAAATTGTATTTTTTAAATGAAATTCAGAATTTTATTACTTTAACCATTGCATACTAAGCTACACTGAGAAATAATCCTATGAATTTCTCAATTAAAAAATCATGAGGATTGAATTATGGATTGCATCAATAAAAGATAATTTAGAATTAACCCTAAAGAGAATCTAAAGTACTTTGAGGAAAACTGAACAATAAGCTGGAAGAATGTAAATAATTTGCTTCTGAAGAAGGCAGACAAAGTAATTTATTTACTGAAATGTATTTAACCTTTTTACTTAAAAGCCATATAAAACAATGGTTGGATTTTGAAAACTTTTAAAAGTTATTTTTAATTTTGATGAGTTTATTTAGTGAATTTGGGTCTGATCCTAGTATATAGTACACACGGGATTTGGCGACTGGTGATATACCGGATGGGTTTCAAATGCATCATGTGCTGGTGCCAATTTTCAAAACCGTGCCAAGGCCATACCATATGCTAGGATTTTACCTTGCACTACCATTTTATACAGTTTACATGCTACAATTAGAGATTATTTACAGAAATTCTGAACAAACCATTTATAAATATACAGATATCTAACTAATTAACTACAAATTACTAAAATTGCTCATTACTAACAATACCGTTAGAGGCATAACCATTAATCATCCACTTTTTTCTTTTTCTTAAACAAATTTTACCTTTAAAAAAACCTGCAACTGTTATTATTAAGAAAATATTAATTTATTGGTATATATAGACAAAAATATGAAGATAAATTAATTAAGGCTTTGCATCATTTTTACCATGCTACAGCAGCTGCTTAGCTTATGTAGACTTCTAGACATTTTAATTTATGATTATTATAAAATCAGTACAGTATACTAAGTTACAGCAAAAATATAGCACATTCTTTTTATAAATATGGAAAAAACTGAAATTTTTATTAATCAAACATAAGCAATGATTATAAAATATACTGCAGAATATGAAAGCTAATGCTGGCTAAAACACCATACTATACTTAGATATATTAATCAAAGCACTTCAAATCAATCATTCAGAAATAATTTCAGCTTCTTGAAAATGAATGCAAATTACCTATATTAATATTTTTCACACAATTTATGTTTTAAAGAGTAGAAACAAATAAAAGGATTACTTTTTTAGGAGAAATACTGGATACATTTTCTAAAGTATAATATCACAAAATGTGTTATGATTTAATATTAACTTGTTTCTCTGACAATGTATCCTATGAATAAAACAGCCATTTTAAGATATTCTATGAATAAAATAAAATGATTAAAAAAAAAAAAAAAAAATCGGAAAACTTTCAGATTTTACATTATGCCCAAAGGAACGTCTTTTTAATGTTTTGTGTGTTCACTTTATTTATTAAATATCATGCTTTCTGAGCTTAAATCATAAAATTCAATTCAACAGCAATATCGCAAAATAATTTTAAAATGAGCATATCTTTATAGTTTCCGATACACAGTCTTCCGCACTGAAGATAAAAATGTTTCCCCTCCCCCTGTACAGTGTTGCCATTACTCGCTTTGAAATTTTTTAGTTTATCAATTGGAAATTCATTAAAATGTTACAAAATATGAAATCATTAATAAAACAAATTTCAAATTAGAGCTTCCAGATGCCTATATTCAGTGGAAGATTACGATATTTGATGACTCTAGGTAAAGTTGTTTTATCACAATGTGAGAAACATAAATACCTTTATTTAATTTCCTTAAATATAACACAGGGCAATAATATTTGGCGGCAACAATTTGAAAAGTGAACCGACATTTATAGTGAACCAATGCAAAATGCCAAAACTAAATTTATAGTTCTTCTGGGCAATTTGCCCCTTTGGACAAATATGCTGGTGTGCAAAACAGCGAGAAATGGGGAATAATCAATCTGTTAGACGACATCTGGATGCTTTTACCCGAGGTCGAATCATTGGAAAGTTGGAGGAAGGCCGCAGTGTGACAAGTGTGGCTGCAGAGTTCGGAATTGCTCACAGCATCGTTTCACGACTTCACTTTCAGACAATTTCAAACTACAGGAACAGCTATCTAGGAGTTTAGTAGTGGTCATCCACGAGGAACCACACCCGCAGATGATCGGTATACTGCCTTACAGGCCAGAAGAAACAGGTGGCAGACAGCGCTAGACACACGACACAGGCGACTGGACGACCAATATCGCGTTTTACCGTGGCCAGAAGACTGCACGGTGGTGGTCTGTTTGCACGACGCCCTGTACGGTGTGTACCTCTAACGCCTGCCCATCGGAGAAGGCGTTTTCTGTGGTGCCGGGAACACAGGAATTGGAGAAACAATGAATGGGGACGAGTACTCTTTACAGATGAGAGCAGATTCAGTCTGAGTAGCAATTCTCATCGCATACTCATCTGGAGAGAGCGGGGAAGCCGCAATCATCCCTCGAACATTATTGAAAGGGACAGGTATGGAGGTGGCAGTGTTCTCGTTTGGGGAGGCATCATGCTTGGTAGTCGTACAGACCTTCACATGTTCGACGCAGGTTCAGTCAACAGGACCCGTTATTGTAACGAGATTCTTCTTCCATATGTGCGTCTTTTTAGAGGCGCTATGGGTCCGCAGTTCCTTTTCATGGACGACAATGCACCATGTCATCGCAAAGTAGCTTTTTGCACACCAGTGTAAATGAATAAAAGAATATACTTCCATGAATAAAAGAATAAAACGACTAAAATAGATGAACGAAAGAATATATTTCTATGTCAATATTTTTTGTTTAACAAATACATTGCTAACTACAATCTAAAAGTTTACCTTTGCGAAGTGACAGCTGATTTTCTCCACCAGACTGAAAATCATACAAAGCAACAAAAAGCTGAGAATCATTTTCATCTTGGGATAGTAAATTATCTTTTGACATCCAGCGCGATGCGCCATTCAGTGGTGGTGGTAAATTACGAATGTCATCAGAAATGTCAGGAATTTGAGGAAGTGGTCGGCTTTGCAACAGGGCTTCTATAAAATAAATAAATTTTAAGTTGTCAATTTTGATATATAAATATTTTCAAATCAGCAAGATGGTTATTTACACATTTTCCCATGGACCATTTTTGATAAATAAAAACTGCAGCCAAACTGCAATTTAGTGCTAACACATAAACATATCTCAAAAAACACTCAAGATGTTTCGGTATTGAAGAAGTTTGCAGTCTATCACTTTTAGTTAGTTATTTCTTAGATGATGCCACAAAAATGTTATTTTTAAATCTGAAAATAAATAATTAAGAATGTATAAAACTGATTCAATTAATTAATTTAATAACTCATTAAATTTAAATTGCTTCCAATTTTATGACAGTCATTTGATATATACATTACAAATGGCAAACAGCCAAGTGGCCAATGAATAGTCATCACTTGGATCTGCACATGTATGTGCATGATCTGATATACCATGCCTCTGCAAGATAAGATGGAAATATTTGCAGTGTGGTACTACAGTTTGATGATCGTAAAATATGATTCCAAAAGCAGTAAAATGCAAATTACATCAATATTGAAGTTTGGCTTGGTTTGATGAAATCCTGATAATCTTTGATACGCTAGTCTAGTTTTTGTAGTAAAGAAGATTATAAATTAAATGCTATTTTTGCAGCTCTCATTTTTGCAGGAAAAATTAAAACTTGGAATTTGCCTTTTATGGCACAACATGGAGCAGAGTATTTTCAGAGTTATAGGATCCTGGCATCAAAAAGATTATGCATTAATGGTTATGATATGGGAGTTTATCTGAAAACAGATAAATAAAGGCAACACTACATTATTAAAGTTTTTTATATTTCATATTCATGATCTATATCAATTCATTATCTAACAAAATAAAGAATGATCTGCTGCTTTAAACTTCTGCCAGAATGATTTACTGAAGTTTGGCTTCACAAACTTTCATAGTCAACAGGAAAGTGCGTAACTACCAAGATGAAAGTACATATTTAAAATGAATCATTTTCAGCTCCATATTATATTGGGTTGTTCGGAAAGTAATTTCGTTTCTTCCCGTCAGAGGAATTAATTACATTTTTTCGAAACCAACTTCACACTTAAGCCGCATAACCATTATATGTCTTGAGAGCTGATATTACAAGGCTTGTGTGTGAAAAAGTTCTATTAATTCTACGCAGTAGTTTTTGGTTGGTGCCCTTTTAAATATGGAGAGCAATAAGCAGCATTTTCATCATATTTTACTTTTTTACTTCAGAAAAGGTAAAAATGCTGTCCAAGCGAGAATAAAATGACGTATGTGTATGGAGAAGGTGTGTTAACAGTACGCCAGTGCCAGAACTGGTTTGCAAAGTTTCGATCCGGCAATTTTGATGTCGAAGATGCACCACGGTCTGGAAGGGCGGTCGAAGCTAACAAAGATGCGATAAAGGCATTAGTTGATGCAAATAGGCGAATAACCACACGAGAGATCAGTGAGAGGTTAAATTTGTCTAATTCGACTGTTTATGGCCACTTGAAAGGCCTGGGCTTAACCTCAAAGCTCGATGTGTGGGTGCCCCATGTTCTTACGGAGCGAAATTTGTGTCGTCGTGTTGACGTGTGTGATTCGCTCCTCAAACGTCAGGAAAATGATCCATTTTTGAAGCGGATTATTTCTGGGGACGAAAAATGCGTTGTATACAACAATGTGAAATGCAAGAGGTCATGGAGCAGAAAAGATGAACCGGCTCAAAGCGTTTCAAAAGCCAACATTCACCAAAAAAAGGTGATGCTGTCCGTTTGGTGGGATTTCAAAGGAATCGTTTTTTTTTTTTTTTTTTTTTTTTTTTTTTTTTTTTTTTTTTTTTTTTTAGCTTTTACCGGACAATACAACTATTAATTCGGAAGTCTATTGTCATCAGCTGGACAAACTGAATGATGCACTTAAACAGAAGAGGCCAGAATTAACCAACAGGAAGGGTGTAGTGTTCCACCAGGATAATGCGAGACCTCATACAAGTTTGGTCACTCGCCAAAAGCTTTTACAGCTTGAATGGGACATACTGCAACACCCACCATATTCTACCGATCTGGCACCTTCCGATTATTATTTGTTTTGGTCCCCGCAAAATTTTTTGGACGGTAAAACCTTTACCTCAAATGAAAATGTCAAAACCACCTGAATCAGTTTTTTGCCAGCAAGGACCAAAACTTTTATGAGCGGGGAATCATGTTACTGCCAGAAAGATGGCAAAAGGTGTTGGACCAGAATGGCCAATATATAATTTAATAAAATATTTATTCATTATACAAAAATTGTCTTTCATGTCCACCCCCAAAAACGAAATTACTTTCCGAACAACCCAATAGTTAAAAACATGCTAATTTCTTTTAAAAAAATCATATTTTAAGTTTTTGGGCAATACAGCAGTGTTATAGTTAATTCTGAAATTTAGAAAATAACTCGCTGAAAAATAAATGCAAATTTAATTAACATGAAACTTAGCAATTTATGAATTAATTCCTAAAATAAAATTGAGTAAAAACATGACTGCATAAAGATGCACAATATGCTTATTGATATTAGATGAAGGCATTCTTTAAAACTTTGAGACAACATATACAGAATCTGGCGATGCATCAGATGATCACTAGAAGTGGAGACTAATTTTTTTTCTTGATACCATACTAAACTAAATCAAACAAAAAAACTAACAGCATGAAAATTATATTGGCTGAATTAAAATCATTCAACTAATATAATTCTCAGTAACTAATAAAATATTTTTTTCCCTTTATGATGATTCCTCATCATTCTTTCTATTTAGTAAGCATCTTAGGGCAATAATCAATTTAAAGCCTTATGATAATTACTATTAATGCTACAAACAAAATAATACTCATTTACCAGCAAATTTAGTAATTCATTTTACAGGATGAAAAAAAACTTTCAATACTTATTTAAAAAATTTCTAGAAAACAAAAATTGAGAAAATTAATGCTTTTTAATATATTAATTTAAAATTTTTTGGTTTATTAATTTGATCAAAAAATTATATAAAGTCTTATAATACAGTAATATTTGTTGTCATAAGTTTTATGTTTATTTATCACATCAAACATCTTCTTCTTGCAAGTTATCTAAATTTTGATCTCTATGTTTCGTTAATTTGTGTTTTATTTGAGGTATATATTTTAATAACTTCATCATGTCTTTTCTTTTTGAAATTGTTCAACCACTGAGATACAATAATGGTTGATTTATATTTTTCAAGATTGCTGGTCTTCCTATTTTTGTTTTATGGCAACTAAATGAAAGTATCATCCTTATCAAAATAATATTTGAACTTAATGCTACTTGGATTTAACATTTTTAATTTTATCCACTGCATATTAGCCAACTGACTGTTAGTCCACTTTCTGATTTTTTTCTGTTGGCAATAACATCCTCCAAAGGTTTTGTGCAAAATAAATCTTGAAGATTCATTTCGAGAAAACTGACACTTTTTTTTTTTTTTTTAAATTATGTGATACCAACTGCTAGGATTATAAATATACTGATACTTTTGAGTGGGGGGTAAGAGCTTCTATAACTGCAAAATCAGCAGCATCATTAGGCAAATACCTGTGCCCACTTTAATAAAACTTTAAATTCGATTCAGCTTTTATGCCTTCACTCTGAATCCATTTCAGGAAACTTAATACAATTTTTACATTTTGATACTGTCCTGTATACAAATCTGAATACATTATAATTTTTTAAAAATTCTTTGCACATAACTTAATGTGTTAAGTTAAACACAATGACAGTTCTTGTGAACATTCATTGGTCTTTCAAACCTTCATTGGTCTTTCAAACATGACAAACAAGATTATATACTTTAGGACCTATTTAACTGCTAGACACCCATTTAGAAAAATAAACTCTTTTAATAAATCAAAACATATATATATATATATACATAGCATTAGGATAACATAAATCTCAGCGATCAATACAGTGTGCACGCAGACTCGTAGAAGAAGAAGGCTAAAGTTCTCTTTCTGCAGTCACACAGAGATGAGATTCTTATCGTGCATGTGCAAGGAGGAGAACTCGAGGCACTGAAGAAATGTGTATGTTGGGGGGGGAGGTAGCCTCACAATACTTGTAATTTTCTCATGTAATAAGCTACTGGAATGAAGAGTTTTAGAAATGGTAATACTTTTTCTAAATCAAAACTAAATGTGTGCATTTTGCTTAAAGCTCTTAAACAATCATTAGCCATAATATTATGGCAATTTCTGATTTTTGTAAGTGTTCGTCATATTCAGCTTATGCTGGATGTTTTTCTTCATCCGTTGTCAACTGCTTTATTCTTACCAAATAATCACATTTTTGAAAAGGACCTTTTTAATGTTGTTTAAAGTGTAAGTTTAATTTTACTGAAAATATACGGTACCAAAAATGGTACTTTTCTTAGCTGGGAGTAAGTGAAAAATCGCCAAATAATGTAGAATTCCGCCAAATTTCTTACAACTATAAGAGGAATGTTCGTTTGGGGCCATGTGCTTTATTCTCTGAATTCATTCAAAACAAAGCATGTTTTCCTTTTTTTCTTCCATCTTAATTTTTGTTTTAAAAAATGATAAAAATTTCGGATTTAGCCAGAACTGAAGAAGATGCAGTCTTTTTTTTTTTTTTTTTCAGGTGAAAGGTATATTGGCAAAGACTGCAACATGCAATCAGAATCATGAAATGAAAATGCCTTTTTGTGACGGAGTACGTTGGCGGTGCAATCTTTCAAGATGCCACATGAAGAAGAGCATTCACAATGGTACGTTGTTCGAATCGTCCAGATTGAGTTTTCTAATATCTTGAATGAGAGATTTATTTACTGCTGGAGTGAAGACATTACATCAGGCAAATAGTGTGAAAAAATGGATATGAATCATAATATACCTGTAGATTAGAATAACTACTTCAGAGAAGTTTGTGTAGAAGTACTAGTGGAATGTGAGCAAAAAAAAATCGGTGGTCCTGAAAAAATAAT